ATGCCGAGTACCAAGGACATGGGACCGATGGCGGGTGATGGTCAGGTGTTAGGAGTTAGAGGCAGAGGCGTGGGTTAGGATGAGGGAAGGGGTGCAGAGGGCGGTTAGCCGCGGAACTGCTAAGCTTAGTCAGGCACCGGGTGCGATTGGACGAAAGCGCGACACTCAAGGACATGCTCTAAATCGTCATGGAAATCGATCCAGTTGCAACTTCACAGAACACCCTCTTCAGTCAACGGTGAATTCCGACCGCTCTTCAACATCCCGGTAGCCCTGTTAATTCCGAATTGTTTCCGGTCTCTGTTCCTCCCGAACTCATAATGCAGGCTCACGAACCAGATTGCGGCAAGCATGTTATAGCGGAGAATAACTCGTTCAAGACTCCTCGAAGGATTTGGTGATAGTACTCGTAACCCGGTATGTCGCGTCTAACCCGGCCCTTCTCTCGCTCACATTTCTCTTAGCATTACAATTCTCGCATCCCCCAAGCAATAAATGGATTACCGTTTGTCAGAGAATCCAAGCACTGCGCACGCTCGACGTGGATGTCAAACATATTGCGGCCGTCGACGAGGTATATTCTTAAGACCAAAGACGTTTTCCGGTGAGTATTGTTTCATTATTTTCCTGTCGCAAAGACTTAGTTGAGCCTTGCTTAGATACGTTCTTCTGTCGCTGTTGGCAGGGTTGAAATCGTGGCTCGACGAACAATTCTTATAATATCCAACTCGCATATGGCCTGAAGCGAGCAGCGTTGTTTCGACGGCATCGGAACAACAGGCCTTTTTCCATTTTCCTTCTCTCTCGGCACTTCCAGCGTACACATATTCAATGCGATACATCTTCCCTTCCCATGCAGATGCCTTTTGCCTACTGCCGCACTTCAATCCCAGGTTATCCCTCAACGACGACTACGATTTTCTCTAGTGCATTCAGCGCACCGGGGGTCGCGTTTCTCTCACCAGCGACAGCAATGCATACGTAGGGTCCATTGTTATGGTCTTCATGGTTTCTGCGGTGCAACTGTTGACCTTCTCCCCTCAACTACCCCCTGACGACTCATGTAGCGACAACTATTTTGTCATTGACCAACGCATCAAGAAGGACAGGACGTGAGGGGACTGTTTATGCAGTTATCATGGTCGTCATTGTGCCGCCGCCATCGTCCAACACCACATACCCCGCCCACCTACTCTATACCAAGGACGACGTTGTCCTGGGCTATGAGTGCCACAGAGACTAGCACTCATACACGTGGTTCCCGAGTTTCTTCAGTTTGACGTGTACCTGGAAGGGCGATTTTCGGTAAACCTGCGCGATGTCGACTCGTAAACACCACAGAAACTACTGCACGAGTGACTCTTTTTATCCTCGCTACGCCAATGTTGCCGCCGTATCCGACAAGAAACTCTTCCTTGGCTCGTATCCTGCGGAGGATCGTTCCCGTGCTACAAAGCGTCCCAACGATCACGACCCGTTCTCCAGCATGTAAATCCTGTTCCACGGGATCCGTCGCTATTGTCATCTTCGTTTGACCACCTTTGATGGTTTAAAGATTATCCTCGTTACCGAATACACCACCTCGACGACCGAAACCATAAGAATTGTGACAAGACACTACCCCTTCTACATTGTAGATCTGTATCTGGATTCATGGCAGCCGCGCGGCACGCACATGGATTGTTTTCAGTCCTTCTATGGAGGAAGCCGTCTCGCTCAGGGTGGTAGATGAAAATTGTCAACCAGGAGAAGCGTAGCCGGGGTCGCTATCTTCGTCGGGCCGTCAGGCGTGGACCTATCGTGCCATGCCAAATGCGCCGATACTACCAGCGAATCCGTCGATGGTTTTGTACGTGCTGACATTTTTCTTTGATCGAGGCATGATGCTGACATTGTCGTAGTATTGGCGTGGGAGAAACTTTTACATCTCACGGAACCTAAGTGGACAATACGGGGGCAAGAAGAAATCTGCGTGGTAGCCTGCGTGGCTGCGTGGTCGCGTGGAGCGTGGCTGCGTGGTCGTCAGCGTGGTTGACAAATCACAGGGACAATCAAAAGTTGATCAAAAGTCCATCAAACGCGACTCAACGCGTTTCCTTCTCTTCTGTCGCAGCCTTCATGGAACCGTCTTGATTGAGAGTATTTGTAAGGTTTAAAAATGACTACTTAAGTGTGTCACTATCCAAATACTTCGAAGGATATCTGTATCATAAAAGTATCATTTGAAAGGGATTGCCACAATTGAAGAGCGTCAAAAGCATTGCCGCAGAAGAAAACAATTTCCTGAGTATTCCAAAAACACGAAAAGGCCGCAAAGGGTGCTTTCTAAGCCATAAGTAATAAGGTACATGATGTGGGGTTGCCGCTTACTTTGTCGAGACTTGAGACACCATAATCTAGGGCACTAGAAATTCTGCATGGTCACCTGCGTGGTACCACGCGTGCGTGGTGCGTGGCCACGTGGGCCATGCAAAGTCCGTAGTTGAACTTGAGTTAAACTTGCCTTGGCTGTACATATATACTGCGCAATGATAAGAATGCTTCATTAAACATATACTTGTATGTATTTCTTATTCATTGGTAAATTGTCTGCAAGAAACAGACCTTTGTTCGAAAATGTTTCAATGCTCAATTGTTGCCCATTAAAGGTTTTAAACCTTCAAATCTCGGATTTGTAGGTGCCATTGCATCTTCAATGCATGTATCTATGATTATGAGAAGGATAAATATCAAAACTTAGCTACTCTCTCATTTTCCCTGCATCAAGTCGTTAATCCAAAGATGTTATGACACTATGAACATTAATTCAACGTTGACATCACATCAATTACTCCTTGAATGCTCTAATACTAACCAAATTGGTCATTTAATTCTCCCTAGAATTTTCGTTCCTTATGTACTAATATACCTTGACCACACAAGTAACCATGCTGGTGTACCATGCAGCCACACAACCATGCAGCCATGCAGCCACACCATGCAGGCTGACCATGCACTGTCATGCTGACAAACCATGCAACCACGCAGACCATGCAGGCACCTCGCAGGCACCACACTAACCCATATAAGTTTTCCCTCAGAAAGTGTATCATTTGTATAATTGCCTCTTAATTCGCTTGTTTCTTTGGTGCTGTTCATATCAAGTGTAGAACTCCATATTCTTCTCATCATGTCCACTCAACTGGGAACCCCACATTGTGTACCTTATTGCTTCTAGCTTGGCAGATCACCTCTAAGGCCTTTTTATACTGTTAGGATACTCATAAAATTATTTACTTCAGCTACAATACTTTTGATGTTCTTAAACTTAGCAATCCAGTTTGAATGATATTTTCATGATATTGACCATATTTTGAAGCATTTCAATATCACACTAAAGCTGTCATATTTAAACATTCAGGAATTCACAATCCAGCTGATTCTATGCAAGTACTAACAGAAAAGAACGGAACACGTCGACTCAAGTCGCGTTTGATGGACTTGATCAACTTTTGATTGAAGTCCCGTAATTTGTCAACCATGCAGCCATGCACCATGCAACCACACAACCATGCAGGTGACCACGTCGAATTCTTCTTGCCCCATAATCTATGGTTGGTAATAGGTATCAATGGCACGGAGGAAAGAGGCCAATTAAATAAGTGGCCATTATACCTTACTGACATATGAATAAAGACAGGTTTTATGAGGAAAATGTTGTATGGGCCAGTGATGCCTGCGTGGCTGCGTGGTTAGTCAGCATGGCAGTGCATGGTCAGCCTGCATGGTATGGTTGCATGGCTGCATGGTTGCGTGGCTGCATGGTACACTAGCGTGGTTACTCTCGTGGTCCAAGGTATATCCGCATATAAGGAAGGGTTGTTCTTGTGGGAATTAGATGATCAATTAGATGGTATTGAAGCAATCAAGGTGCAATTCATGTGAAGTCGACGTTGAATTGATGTTTATGGTGTCACAACATCTTTGGATTAATAATTTCAAGCTGGAAAAATGAGAGAGTACTTAATTTTCGATATTTAACCTTATCATAATCATAGATACACTCATGGAAGATACAATGGCACCTAGGAATCCGAGATTTGAAAGTGTAAAAACTCTAATTGGCAAAAACTGAGATTTGAAACATTTTTGAACAAAGGTCTATTTGTTGCAGAAATTTTACCAATGAATAAGAAATAGATACAAAGATACGTTTAGCAAAGCATTCTTATCATCATGCAGTAATTATGTTCAGTCAAGGCAAGTTCAACTCAATTTGTTCAACTAATGACTTGCGTGGCCTGAGATATCGCTCTAATCGAGACGGGCCTGAGTCCGGTCAGACAATGAAAAGGGCGAGAGAATTCTGATATTCCAGTACATAGTGACAGCCTTATATACTATGGGGTTCTGACTCCTACTTAGTAATAATACAATGCGAGTCAGAAGACTCAGTAACAAGTCACTGTGAGTAAATCAGAAAAAAGGGGGATGGAGGTGAAGGCACTAAGAAATAATAGAGATAAACCGAAGGGAACAGTACCATATAACAGGCCTGCATGGCCATGTGCCATGCATGCATGGTACCATGCAGGTGACCACGCTGAATTTCTAGTACATCAGCAATCTCGCAAACGGTATAGGGTGTATAGGCACACCCCTCCTATACCCTTCTATACCCTATAAGGTGGTATAGGGCTATAAGGGGGGTGCATGTTTTCTATACCAGCTTTCATAGACCTATAGCCTTCCTATATGTGTCGGTTGTAGAGCTATACATTCCCTATAGCATGCATTGAGCTGTTTTCTCACCAGTAAACAATTGAATTATAACAGGATATCCAATGCATTAGTATACTACTATATCAACAGAAAAATGGTTGAGATACAGCTTGTACACTGAGACAGAGGTAGCTACAGTTTGAGAACACTTTCACTCGGAATTGGAGAATCTGGAACCAAAATCAGGGCCATCGCCATGTCGAATGATAGACTCAGAGATGGTACCTGCTAACCTGCCATCATTCAGACATATCCACATCATCGCTGTCATCGTCGTCTTCATCATCCGAGTCTTCCCCATCATCACCCTTTCCACCTGAGCTGAACTCTCGGCAATGAAGATATATCTCATTCCACTTATTGGTCGACAATGTGCTCATGTTCTTGAAGTGCTGTTTGACAACCGTTGCCCAGGGATCCTCACCAAAACTCTCCAGTGAATTTTTTGATTGCTTTCCATCGAGAGAGTTGACTCCTTTCTTCCATGCTTGAAGGGCACGTTTAACCTGCCAGAGGGCCTCTCGTTACACATGCAATCTGGTCAAGGATGATCGCAAAGGTACATACTACTGCAGCAGCTGCCAGAGCTAGCGCTCCTGCTGGTGGTCCAAACATTGTTGGGGTTGAGAGCATGCACTGGATGTGGTAGGCCATTGTCTGGATAAGTAGTCATCCAAGGTATGCTCCACGTCCTTCCACGGCCTAGAAGTAATGTCAGTCAGCAAACATGTATCATTTGAATCAGGCATAAGGCACGCACTGTGTTCTCTGGTTTGTCATAGACAAACCATTTATTCTTCATCGCATTTTTCACCCATTCAGCATGTTGTTCAGCCGTTTTGCACCCCTTGAGATCTGGATGCTTCCAGTTCCGATAGATGGCAGCCATGGCCGCTTTTCCAAGTTCGCTGCGATGACACCAAATTTGAGTTTGTATCTGCACGAACATTAGCTGCATGTACACGAGAAGAAAGTTAACTTACGATGCCTATGATGGCTGGGTGGTCCACTCGAAGCTGTTTTTTATCGTTGTTGAGATGCTTGGGAAGGTGTCCAAATGCACTGTTCCACAGAACAGCCACAGTAGGCTTCAACTCGGAATGGTTATTGGTACTGAACTGGCCTTCGAGCATTGCAGACCAGTCAAGGATGGGCACTACAACCTTTTGCTTGAAGAGCTTGACATCAGAGGCAGACGGAAGAGGCAAGTCTTCGAACTTCCACGCCGATTTTCTTCCTTTTACTTTCCCACACTCCTTACCATCGATCTCATTGACATTCTCCAGCTCGAGCTTGACCGTGATGGACTTCTAATGGCAAACTGTCAGTGTCTGGTCAGGAGCCTGAGAAATAAATACCTTGTCAACTTTGGATCCCTTTCCATCTGTTTGAGACCTGTTCTTGGCCTTTCTTGCATTTTTGACAGCATCGGCACTCTCGTCTTCAGCGAACTCGCCTGGCGTGGGACTCTCCGTGATTTCCTGCACTTCATCTCCACCATTGGACGTTGCAAGCGATGTCACAGAAGTGGAAGGGTCACTTCCCTTGTACACTTTCTGCCAATTTGTGATGAGACCTCCAATACTCTCGGATTTCAGATGTTTCGCAGATCTAGGAATTGTGGTTAGTCACTGTTTCATTCGTGTGAAGGCCATGGCCAAGGTACAAATCTCATACAGGTCATCTTGTTCAGATGCCTGGCTTGGACGCTTTTTCACTGGCATTGGATGAATCGCTGGCATGGGAGCAATGGTGTGTAAGTCTGTGATACCTTGACGGACTTCCAACTTGTTAACCGCTGTCTACGAGTCATGTAAGTATATGCAATCATCTAATATTCCTGTTTAAAGGTACTCACCTTCGTCTTTGACAGAGTTTTTGCTGTGGCGATGTCTGCCTTCAACTCAGAAGGTACAGATACGGTTTGCTCCATCGAACCAGCAAGCTTTGCCTTCCGCCGTTGCGCCATGAACTCTTTGAACAAGGCTTGTTCATCCTCCCCCTCGCTGTCACTCTCTTTTGGAACATAGTCGTCATCCGAGCTGTCATTCATGGCAACCACTTTGTCAGCGACTAGAACATTCGGCTCACTCTCTGATTGCACATCAACATCCATAATATCATCTATCGGCCCCTCAGACTCTGATGTCGCTGCGGTGGACATGGGAGGCAGATCTTCTGCAGAATCAACATTGTATGCCAGTGCGAATGCTTCTTCATCTTCTGGAAGTACTGCGAATGCACCTGGTGGCGACTCAATGACTGGCGTCACTGCTCGTGGGAGGACATCGGTAGGATAAACCTTCTTTCTCGTCTGTTTGGGTGGCTGAGCCTGAAACGAAGGTAAGCCTTTCTTCATGAGAATGATATCAGGACGAAGTGACTGGATCTCTCTGTCCTCCTTCGCATTGGCATCCTCCTGCGCTGCTACCTTTTTCTTGGCCATCTGCCACCTCTCCGCTTTTACCTGCTTTTGCTCTGCAACAACCTCCTGCTGACGTTCCTTTTCTTCAGCACATTTGCATTGAGCATCGGTAATCTCAGCACGGCTGTGAGGGATCCACTGTGTCAGCACTGTCATTGATTTGCCACAGGTAGACATGTGAGTCTCAGAAGCCATGGTGGGAGGAAAAGCAAGAGCGATCGATGACTCAGGAGTTTCACCGCCTGTCTCCTAAAAAAAATTGGTAAGCTCGATCCGTTATCTGTCCCTGCTCACTCCCCAATCATTGTCTACTACAGTTTCTCTCAGCCATGTCACACCACAGATGTCCATGGAGAGGATGTTTTCGAATGTTCAAGCATGCAGGCGATCTGACAAAGCATGTCAATTCTTGTCACCATATTCTCAGATCCACCATGCCTGCCGAGTCAGACTCAGACATATCAGTATCCTCAGAGCAGGAGGTCTTGGAACCTGTGGGCATGACATCTACTTCCAATGAGTATGATGCACCACCATCTCCTTCAGAACAGCCTTCATTTTCTACACCTCCCAGTGCCAAAGATAAATGAGTATACCATCCATATCTCACAGGTGAGATATGCTCGAGCATTATACTGTTGATACACTACTAATATTGTCTTCTGAGCAGGTGAAAAATGTGACAAGCATGGAGCTCCAGTGGATGCTGATGCTCCGGCACCTCGTCTGCAAGCCATGGAAAATGTCTGGGTGCCATTCAATGGAGAGGTTCAGTTTCATCTGGCTGACTTTCTCTTCCGCAAGGTTGAGATGTCACAAGGTGATATCAACAACCTTATGGACCTGTGGGCACTGGATATAGCACAGAAATGTGGTGGCAATGCACCATTCGACAACTATGAGACTCTTTACAAGGCCATTGATGAGATTCGTGTCAGCAGTGCACCCTGGAAGTGCTTTGAGATGGTGGTACCTGACGATCTTGGCTGAGATGCACCTGACTGGCAGAAGCAGTCGTACCAAGTTTGGTTTCGGGATCCTGACATTGTCATCCAGAATATCCTAGCAAATCGTGACTTTGCCAAGGAATTTGATGCGGTACCATATATCCATCCTGATTCCGATGGCCAACGATGCTGGAGTGATTTTATGTTCGGAAACTTTGCTTGGCGGCATGCTGTATGTAGAATCAGTGGTCGGGTTGACTTTGATATGCTAACAAAAGCTCAGACACAGATTTACGACACAAATCCTGACACAAAAGGTGCTATGTATGTCAGTATCATTCTTGGAAGCGACAAGATGATGGTTTCCATTGATACACCGTCTACGTGTTCACACCTAGATTTTGCGATTTTATAACAATACTATTGCATGTCTATCCTATACTAGTTGTATATCAAGGGCTATAGTTGAGACTTCGGACTGATAGTCAAGTTAGCATGCTACTAGTCGAGTCAGGAATTAGGAATGATACCACTAGTGGGTCAGCCCTACCAGCCGACCGGACTAGCACCTCCAAAGCTAGTATGACTTAGTAAAATACAGTCACTAGTAAAGAATACCGCTGCTAGCGCCCAAACAAGAAGTAAGAACCCACACAGATCTCGACTATTCAGTCGCTAGTGGACCAATCTGGGCATGAATGCCTAAGTCAGGATGACTAGTCATGCGAGCACTTCTGAAAGGACTTAGAAATGAACCAGTAAAGGCATAACCCTTAGCCCAGATCCGGCTAGTGTGATACAGATCTCATATGATCGGCACTAGTATAGCCAGGCTGCGCCCCAATCACGATCAAGCAGTTGCTACAGGCATGGTTACCTGACTATCCGTATAGCCGTGTCACTAGTGGAGCACCACTGGGCAAAGGGTGCAGAAACGACCCAATAGCGGAGTCCCTTGACCTGCTATCCAACAGAAAGAACAGGCTAGGCCGACTATTGTGTGATTATTCACCATATTTTGTGACTAGCCAAGACATCCTTACCAATATTACCCCTAGAGAATCTATTTATATTTATTCTGTACCTGTCTCTGTAGTATATAAGTAGTAGATGGGGCGGCCTCGCAAGCAGGCAAGCCATCCCCGCGATTGTGACCTACTAGTCCATATTCTAGTGCCCCAATTAAAGGCTTTTGTGCTTAACCTCGACGAAGTGTCTACTAGTCGCTTAGTCACCTATAGTATTGAACGAATTGAAGTGTCTTAAAGTTACTATTCCATCTTGGAGTGACTCGGAGCGTTTCGAAGTTAGTTAAAGTATTTTCTCAGAGTTAAAGTATTTGTTCTTAGGCCAAGAGTGCCACTAGTCGAGCCTAGGGTGCCGCTAGTCAAGTGTAGACCGCTTGTGAGACCCAGTATTTGGCCCAGAGTGCCACTAGTTTCGAAGTATCAGAGTTAGACCGAGCGCAGTTGCTCAACACAAGTCACTATTCATCCAATCGTGTCTTAAAACCCCGCTAGCGTGAGTATTACCTCTTGTGTAGCTCGCTAGTACCAAATATACATCTTTAAACAACCTTTCCCTGATTTGTTGAAGTCTGCAGAGTGCTTCTATCATACTTGAAACACCCGAACTCAATAATATGGGTGATTAGTGTAGAGTAGTAGAGGGTTTTGGTGTTGTGGTGTTCATATCCATTCACTAGCCTTTTGTCACTCGCCATTACCGAGCACATCACCGTGGTGACTGGAAACGTGGAGTACTATCCTGTGTATCTCTCCATCGGCAACCTTCACAATGCAGCACGGTGAGGGCATTGCAATGGAGTGGTACCAATTGGTTTCCTAGCCATTCCCAAATGTATGTCTCAGCTGTCTTCCATGTTCATGTCTGGTTGATAACATGGTCTCTTTTATTAGCGGATCGCAAATATGATCGTGATATTGCCTTTCGAGTATTCAAGAAGAAGCTATACCATCAATCACTGACTGCCATCTTGCACTCGCTAGTGCCAGCAATGACCAACCCTGTCGTGCGTCAATGCCCTGATGGGTACTACCAACGGGTGATATATGATCTAGGGCCCTATATTGCAGATTATCGTGAGCAGGTCCTTCTCGCAGGCATCGTTCAGGGCTGGTGTGCCAAGTGTGTATCATTTCAAGGTTATACATGTGCTCAGAGCTAACTAGTACCTCAGATGTACTTCACCGGCAGCCAATCTCGACGCACCTGGAGATCGTCGCTCATGAAAGCATACAGAAGTTCTCTTAGAGGCTTTTTCAGAGAGTCCTGATGTTCTATGGGATAATTATGGCATTGACGAGGACATTTTGGTCAGTGAAGCCCTGAAACTTTTCTCTTTCTCACACTAATTACTATGTGGCTTTGGACAGCCTTTTACGTTCAATTTTCCCCGTGCAGATATACATGAAATGCTCTCATCTGACCTGTTACACCAAATAATCAAAGGATCATTCAAAGATCATTTGGTTGAATGGGTTTACGAGTATCTAGTCCTCAAAGAAGGTGAAGTGTGAGCCAATGAAATCATGGATGATATCAACCGACAGTCAGTTACTTGATTCATTGTGATGGCTGGTAGTGTTCTTATTCTTCTATAATTGCAGCATTGCAGCGATGCCACCATTTCCTGGGTTACGCAGATTTCCGCATGGACGCTGGTTTTAAACAGTGGACCGGTGACAATTCGAAGTTCTGATGAAAGTATGTTGGGCTCGCTAATAGGTGATCATAACTGACATCTATGAGCCAGGTTTATCTGTCAGCTGTTGCGGAGTATCTCCCTGAATCTATCATGAAAGCTCTCTCAGCTTTCATGGACTTCTGCTATCTTGTACGGCGGTCAGACTTCAGTGAATCGAGTCTCCATAAAGTTCAAGACACAATCCAACGATACCATCATTACCATGAGGCATTCAAAGTCTCAGGTGTTCAGGAAGATTTTTCATTACCATGCCAACATGCTATTATTCATTATCCCAGTCATATCATGGAGTTTGGTGCACCCAATGGACTATGCTCATCTATTACAGAGTCACGGCATATCACCGCAGTCAAAAAACCATGGCAACAGTCTAATCGGTATGATGCCTTAAGCCAGATGCTGCTTACAAACCAGCGCCTGGACAAATTGAGTGCTCTTCACACAGATTTGGTTCAGCGTGGCCTGGTTGAACCTGTGCATTCTCCAGTGGCTGATCCATTTGAAGCCGGAACGGAAGACGAAGGTGCAGTGGATGGAGAAAGATTCCTAGGCAAGGTGACACTAGCTAGAATGTCAGGTAAGATCTCGCTATGATATTCAGCTCATGAAAGCTCACGCCGTATTGCAGAGCGTTTATATCCCAAAGACCTACAGCGTCTGGGGCAATACATCGTCTATCCACATCTTCCAGAGCTTATGCAACACTTTCTCCGCGAGCAGCTCTCTCAAGAGTCGACAGATAATGCGCATGTGCTGGACTCGGAGCTTCCTATCATCGACTCATCCATACGTGTTTTCCATTCTGCCATAGCAACCTTCTACTCGCCCAGTGATATCTCAGGCATGAGAGGTATGCGCTGTGAACGAATACGTGCGACCCTGTCTTGGCATGGGTACACTCAATATGATTGTGCCCTTGCTGTGATGGACCAGGATAAAGCAGGCTTCCGTGGAATGAACGCAGTGCGGGTCCTGCTTTTCTTTTCATTTAAACACGATGGCAGAGAGTTTCCGTGTGCTCTCGTGCATTGGTTCAAGACTTACGGACGTGGACCAGACCCAAAGACAGGAATGTGGATAGTACGGCCCGATTTTCGTGGTTCTGTGAGGCGTAGTCCTGTCCTGAGTGTGATTCATTTAGATACTCTGCTCCGTGGCGCTCATCTTCTACCTGTTTTTGGTACTTGACCACTACCTCACAAGTTTCATTACTCACGTTCTTTGGATTGTTTTGAAGCATTTTATGTCAATCGTTACGCTGACCATCATATGCATGAGATTATTATTTGACTTTATTATTTTAAATATTAATCATAATATAATTTGTTTTTCACTGTTCGTGCTTGTGCTATCACTCCGAGCATGCCCGAGGATCCATACGCTTTCTTTAATGCACCAGCTAGACCACGTAAACTGGCACCACTTACAAAACAACGTCATTGGCGGACCATGAGTGCTGCAATTAAGAACCGGAGGATGGGAAAGCTGTACGTTATTGGTCTATTTTTGCTTAGATTTCGTACATTGATGCCAGAGGCTCAGAGCAATTAGGCCAGAGAATATACCAAAGAAGAGGCTAGACGAAACTCAGAGCCAGTATCGACTCGTGCCAGCATCACCGGGCAACACACCCATTCATGATTCAGAGGCAGAAAATCAATACAATGGTCCGAGTACTTGGGACTTCATGACATTGGAGATTGACATGTCAAATGGCATGACAGCTATCTTTGATGAGCTCGAACGCTTTCGTACATCGTTTGGTGTCCGGATTAACTCCCTCAAACTACGATCTGGTTTGAGAGAGACCCGAGAGGCTCTGGAACAGCTCGAGGAGCTGGCAGATTGGATTGACGAGGCAGATTTGAGATCGCAAGCTGAGGAAGAACACCAGCGGTTGTGGAAGGGTTGGTCAGAGTACGTGGAAAGAGAGAATGCTCAGCTTAAGATGGAGAAAGACTCAGAGCATGGTGAGCCGACAGAAGTTCAAGGTGATTCGCGTAGATTGGATTATTAATAGGAAGGGTATAGATATTTTATAGAAGCATGGAAGGTATAGAGTAGACATAGACCGAAAACTACCCTATACATCCTATACTCTCTATAGTCCCTATAGAGTTGTGAAATTGCTGATGTACCCGACAATACGGTGCTGTTTAATGGCAGCCATAGTATTTCTTTGCACAATGATTATCACATCAATACCGGGTGCCCGACTCGAATGTTACTCTTTCTATGCTCTTCTTTATAAGCATGGCGCTGCTAGCAAGAAACCAAAACTGTGCCATAGGTTGAGCGTACAGCGATGTGACTGGACCAGTGTCTTTCGTCTTTGCATCAGGCTATTCTCATCCTTTATGCGAGGCGTTGTGTTCCAGCCTTTTCGTTCTCACTTTCACACCATCATTATGGACATGTCAATCAACCATAACTGCTGGTTCACGCTAGATATACTGGCACACGATGCATACGATAGTAGATGTGTTGCGCGACTCGGAGCTAAAATTCTGCAGAGGAGCGCTCAGGGGCCCGGGTGGGGGATAACCTCTAGTCAACATTCAGCGCTCTGGAAAAAGAGTTCTTTCAACATTTTTAGACGCTACCACAGTCGGAAGCAAACGTGAAAAAAATATTCTCTACCATAGGCTAGTGCAACACTGAGCCGTTAGACTACAGTGCGACAGTTTTGGTAGGCGCTCCGATGGAAATGATTGGCCCGACACCCGTGTTTACATCTATTCATCTCCCTGTTTCCCTGTTTCTTTTTTTCCTTCCTGTCATCATCCTCTCGAAAGATCGCACCCTTAACAAGGTCCTTCACAACCGCCGGGCAGATAAACGGCGACAACGACTGTGAACGAAAAGATACTGTTGGTCGCATCTCGACACCATCGAAGGGATTATCGAAACGCCATGAAAACGATTAACGAGGACGTTTGGCGTGATGGTCGAGTGTTAGACTGCCGAGGAAGAGGCGCGGAGCGTGACGAGGGGCTATTTCCACCGGGGCTGCGATTACCGTATTTGCCGGTCACGTGCCAGTTTTTCCCATGGTCTTAGCCTTCGACGCCTCGTGCATTATTGACCTCAACCTTCTGCAGTCGTCACCTCAAGGTTATCTTCCACAGCACAATTCAGGTATACTTTCCCTCAAATCATAGCCTTTGTAGCTGATGTTCACCCCACAGTTCTAGTCAATGGCATTATTCACTCGCCGTTACGATTTCAATGCAGCGCCAACGTGTCCCACATGTGGTTCAGTCAACAAGACGCCGTCGAAACCATTTGCAGCACATACACGTTCTCCCCGAGTATCAGAGTTGTTGCGATGCAATGATATCCCTTCCGAGACAGAACTATCCGAGTTCCAAGATGTAATCATGCACGGACCCGGCCGTCTCGCCGATATCGATAAGAGGATTGAGCGGTCCAGGAACCTGATTGACATGCTGATGCGTGAGCGTCACTCACTAGAGTCGGATATGGAGGATGCGAAAATATTATCTTCGCCGGTACGAAGACTACCGCCCGACATTCTCCATTCCATATGCCTCGAGACTATCCCTTCCTCATTGGATATCATGTCGCCAAACTTTGAGTTCAGTGACAGTCTGAATACTAGGAGCTCTCCATGGACAATATCCCAGGTTTGTCGTAGATGGCGATCAACCGTTGTGAACTCCCCAGAACTGTGGTCATCCACGTCATTGGTCAATGCCACACAGTCGCTACTAATGACTGCCAGCGGCTTGATCAAGCCGCGGTCAAACCTCCAAAGCATGTTCCTGCTTGGGATCCGACTCCAGAGGTCACAGAGTTTTCCTCTCACATTGTCGTTATGGAGCGCCAGCGATGTTTCCCAGCACCCCTTTCTTGCCCTTATCTCTATTCATGCCTATGCGCTGCAGAATCTTCGTATCCACGTTCCTGTTAGGTCTCTCGTAGCATTTTCCGGGTGTCGAGGACGTCTGGAACGCCTGGAACATCTCATACTTGAATCAAACGACGAATCGCTACCGGAAGGTTGGGCCATCAATGTATTCGAGTATGCGCCGAGGTTGCGCATATTAATTGCACCCATTCATCATTTTCCTCGCGCCGTGGAGATTCCATGGTTCCAGCTTTGCCACTGTACTCTTCAGATTGACGACGAGCACGACCTCCCACTTCTTGAGCTGCTGGATAATGTCAAAAGTGCAGACATATGCAGCGGTGGAAACTTGTTGAGAGTTCCTCAAGGACATAAACCCATCCACCTCCCCCGTCTGACGTCATTGGCGCTCACGTCGCAGAATCCTGTGGCTACTCCATCGCCTGATCTCCGGGTCATTTTCTCTTCACTTTCTCTCCCAAATCTCGTCGATTTGCACATTACCTATTTTGCAATGCCAGTGCTTCCCCATATCAGCATTCAGCCCAACGTCATCACCAGGCTTGAACTAACACGGATATCATCTACTGCTGGGGGTAACCAGAAATACACATTTCCTGGATTATTGATGCTGCTAAATACCGTAACGAATCTTCGTTGTCTTGCTCTTAACTCCGCTAGAGCATTATCATCGGATGATATATCTCTACTTGGAGGCATCCCGTCATCGGAAAACATGCCTCTACGTCACCTCCGAGTGCTCGATCTCAGTGGTTGCGAACTCGATTGTGATTACTCAAGCTTCGTCAAGATGGTCGAGGCTCGTAGACAAGGGGATCACTCGAAGTGTGATCAACTAGAAACTCTCTACCTAGCCACTCCACTCGAACTAGGTGGTCCTACTGCAGAGATCTGGTCCAATCTCCTCGAAGGCGGGTTGAATGTCATGTATGGAGCCCAGAACGTGGCAGATTAATACCGAACTTTCTGGTATGGTTCCCTAGTCTTTGACCTCCATGTGTTATTTCTCTTTCCATCGATACGTACTCTTGATTCTTATAATACCATAGACTAGAGGTGCATCGAAGTCCGCTATCTACACTATGATGGTTTTCTCTTCCTTACTTATGGTACAACGGTGTCTCTGGGGTTCCGAGCCGGACTTGTGAGAAGTTTTATAAATATGTGACCTATCGTGGCATCGAACTTCTCCCTGACCACTACGATCACTTCAAGGCTTTCTTGCTCATCGAATACTGTAACTCAGGTGCGGCTTTCCCTAAATATTATCCTTGACCATAGCTGGAAAAAAATCAGTCTTTGATCCGCCAGATGTCGAACATGTCCACCTTCCCTGACATATGCTCCACATGTGGATCTTTCACGATACGAAGAATTTCCGGTGATGCACGCACGCCTCGTATCTCAGAACTCCTCCGATGCAACGATGTTCCTTCGGATAGCGAACTCTCCAATTTCCGGGACATCATCCAGCAGGGACCTGGGCGTATCGCGAATCTTGATCAGAAGATCGCGCACACCAAAGAGCTCCACGATACTCTTATCAATCATCGTAATGTTGTGGAGACAGATATCGGGGATGCCAAAGTACTCTGTTCTCCAGTACGAAGACTGCCCCCTGACGTTCTTCATTCCATCGCTCTTGAGACCATCCCTTCCCCTTCCGAGATCATGGGCTCAAACATATATTTCCACAACAGTCTAGATAGAACGAGAGCTCCATGGACATTATCTCAAGTCTGCCGGAGCTGGAGGATGGCCATTGTCGGCTCGCCGGAATTATGGTCATCCATATCACTCAATATCAAGTACCGTCCCAATGCTCCCTTGTCAGCTTTTTGCCGTCCATTTTTCTTGCTTGTACTCCACCTTGAAAGGTCACAGAGTATCCCTCTCACCTTTTGGATTCACGATACCATGCGAACCGCCGAACATCCTTTTCTTTCCCTCGTTGCCGCCCGCGCCTCTTCTATCAAAAACCTTTATCTTTCATCCAATCTTGATTGTTCACTCGAGGCCTTGCCTGCTCACGGAGAAGTTGGCAAAGTCTCCGTCATCTGAAAATTGAATCTGCCAGTGATGTACGTGTAGAGCGGATATTTGATTCGTTTGAGTATGCACCAAATTTACGAGTGCTCGAAGCGACGGTGGAGAAACCGGAGGAACTTATTCTGATTCCCTGGGTCCAGCTTACCCAATTAAGGCTTCGAGCCAGTAATGCCTTGAACTTCGACGAGCGAATATCAAGAGTCTGGAAATTATCGGTTGCTCCTCTCTCACTTAATGGATTCTACAGTCGATTGTGGAAGTCCTTACGTGACGGAGGACTGAAGGTCGCGTTTAGGAAGTTATGATGTGGATCGTGGAAGGATGTCCTTCACCTTGACTCTCCCGAACTGTAATCATCGCGTTATCTGAATTTTGGATTTTTATGCATATGGCTGTTTATTGTTATGTATCTGTTCCTCCTTCAATGTTGCACATGGAGAACGCGATGCGGAGAGGAAAGACGGGCTTGGACCTTTATATCATCGACTGGTACTCCTCCGCTCGAACGGGTCGTTCTCTCCTTTATCTGGCTACGTTTGTTGACTTCAAACAACCGATACGCCAAACGTGTATGAAAATTTGTTAATTAGTTTGGTTTCGTTTTTCTCTTATAACTCAGTACAATGTGACTCTCAGGCAAACACGCGACGCAGATGTGTGGTGCTTCCTCGCTATGTCGTGAGAAATGCTACACGTATGATCCGGTGCGACCGAACGTGCTTCTCTTTCCACTGCCGTCACCTCAACGTTTTCTTTCTCACTGATTAACTTTAACGCAGGTACAGTTTCTTAATTTCTGTATTGTCATCGGCTCTGTGACTAACTTTATTAAACCTATCAGATGCCATCAACAACGACGGATCTCCCCAATACCTGCCCTATATGTGGAGATGTGGAGGCTCCATGAAAACAATGTTTTCAGGGCATGAGCTCTCACCTCTTATCTCAGAACTGCTGAGATCCAACGATCCTCCGTCGGACGTTGAGCTCTCTGATTTCCTGAACACCGTCAGGAGTGGGCCTAAGCGTCTCGCTGACCTCGATGGGAAGATCTCGAGCGCTAAGGAGCACCTTAATACGCTAATCCGCCAGCGTAGCGTTCTTGAAACAAATATTGATGATGCCAGAATGCTATCTTCTCCTATATGAAGGTTGCCATCTGATGTTTTCCGCGCTATCGCTCTAGAGGCCATCCCTTCCTCGTACGAGGTTTTGAATTCCACCGTGCAGCGAGATAGCCTTAATAACGGTGGCTCGCCCTCAACATTGACACAAGTCTCTCATAGATGGAGGCTAGCCATTGTGAACGCACCGGATGTGTGGTCATCCATGTCACTAGTGATCAAACACAATGACAAAACCCCTGTAGTCGCCCGTCAGATGTCGAAGACTGGACTCCGACTCGAGAGATCTCATTATTTCCTTCTCATTATGTCGTTTTCAAGTTGTACCGATGTTGACATTTGTAACCATCCCTTGATATTTCTCATCTCCTCGCGCTTTTCTTCAATAAGAAATCTTCGCATCGACACTTCCCTCATATCTTATCCGGCGTTCTCACGGTGGCGGGGACGTTTAGATCAGCTCTGTCATCTTTCTTTTACAACCCCTCTTCTACTCAGTTCGGGACCGCTGTCGTCAGGGGGTGTAGAGAGTGTCATTGACGCTTTTGAATATGCCCCTAAGTTGAAAACGGTCACAATGAGGGCCCACGACTGCTTTCATTTTTCTTTCCGTTTCTCGTGGACTCAGATTGTTCACCTTAACCTTTCTATTTTTGATCGGGACGATATCGCCTTCGACAATTGAAGAATCTGAATAGTCTCAATATCGCATACGGAATGAGTGGACTAGCAGTCCTTGCAGGCCATAGACCTATCATTATCTCGACTCTCACCTCATTGACCCTCACGGACTTATATGTAAGGGCAGGTCCATTGCCCTGGCATTCGCAACCCCAAAATGTTCAGATTTTCTCCTTGCTTTCCATTCCCAATCTTATCTGAGACTTGTCTCCTACGGGGAATTCAACATGTTCACCACGGGCCAGGAGAATTTTGCGAGCAATACTTGCGAGTTGCATGCGACTGCAATTCAACTGTAGTTCATTTGCGCTGAACTCAAGTTGAACTATATTTAACTTGCATGCATTTACGCACATATGGATATGTTCGGTTGCGTGGCCTATGAATACCTAATTCTGTTTTAAAGACACTAGTAAACTGTATCTTATCTTGAACATTTAATTAATGTTTCGGAGTTCCTGGATATGTCCCACCAGCGCAATATCACTTACTATGACTCAGGAAAGATGTTGAACATATGAAAATGCTATAAATGTATACGATTTCGCTATAAAAGGATCCCCCTCCATCACAGCGACATTTCACTTTGAAATGATTAAGAAATCTTACCTTTTTTTTGATCTTGGTGGGATGAACAGGTTCTAAAACGAACAAAACTTGCTTATGCATCTCACAAAGATGTCACGTATTCATGCCAAAGTCGAACGCAAGCCTCAAGAAGAGGCACACATGCGTTCTTGAAAATAACGCATGCGGTTCGAAATTCACCGCAAGTGAGCTGCAGCGGCTCGCAATTGGCTCGCCAGTGTTATGGAGCACTGACTTTTGTCATGCTTGCACGTGCTAATGAAAGTGTGACAATCTCATGCGGGAAAAAGCAAACGCATGCTTGCAAGTGCGCTCGCAAAATTCTACAAGCCCTGCAAAAAGATGTTGTTCGAAAACAGCGCAACGGCGTCTCAGTATACAGTAATTCCATGCAGTAAAAGGCATTGAGCTCGCAGGACTTCAGCACTTCCGTAAGGAGAGCGTGAATTGAAGATGTAACAGCCAGTATAAAGGTCGCGAAGAATCACCTCCAACGCCTCGTTGTTGTAGTGTCGAAAGTATAACTGAAGTATGAAGATATCCATTGGTGTGAACGAATAGTTCCGCACGGAAAATTTACATATTTGTGTAAGGACGATGGAGGGGGGAACCCTAATAACTCACAGGGACTTCGGCATCCAGTTGAAAAAGAGCATATGACAGAGCGAATTACCCAGAGGACGTGGTGAACGTGATTTGCAAGGAGCCCGGACCGGCAGCATCCCGACTTTATTATTGTCATATGTTGATTCTTGTGGCTGTCGCCATCCTTCGTCCCCTCATCACACACCGGAAATCCAGAAATTTAGGGCATCCCAATTATAGCACCTATACCTAAGTTTTCGGATTGTGAATGAGATTTACTGAAATTCCGTCCGATACCAAAAGTTCCAAGACAGCGTGAAATTTATCTCAAATCAAAAAAAACCAGGAATGGATCATGAGATTCCGGTACTCGAGCCGAAGCTAATTGTTCCCAGTTACCCTGAATCAATGCCGAAAGCATCTGTTTCGGTACTTATTTTGGCAAGACCAGCACCGAAAATGTGAGTGCTACCGAAATCTCGTCTGGAATACTTTATTTCGGTATCCATGTTAGGCAAAGCCGAAACTAAGGTTTGGGGCGTCCTCAGCCGGAACGGGGTCCCAAAACCTAATTTTAGTATACTCGATGTCGGCACGGGAACTAAAGGTCTAGGCATGCGTTCCGGGACCCCACAAACCTTAGGTTTACCATCTGCGGAAACTTTGCCCTGAACGGAGGCTTTCGTCACTAGTTCAGGGAATTCCTGAATCTTTGCTTTCAGAACTCGATTATGGCAGCCTGGATTCAAATCCGATATCTTACATTCCGGGGATGATTCAAAGCCTTCTTGAACCTTTAGTATGGCTACCAGTATCAGTAAGTCCTGTTTTCACATGAAATCTTAGGTATAGGCAAGTAAATCAGACTCTCTCAAATTTCCGCATTCCCGGAGTGTATCTTACATTCCGGGGACGATTGAAAGCTTCCTTGAACCTTTAGTATAGCTACCAGTATCAGTACATCCTGTTTTTCATCTGGAATCTTGTGTATAGGTAAGTAAATCAGATGCTCTCAAACTTCTGTATTCCCGGAGTGTCATGAGCCTCGGTGCCTTTACCTCGCTCAGCAGATTGGGGTGATCTCGCCTTTTCCTGCTGATCGTTTGTCGTCTACTTACATGTTAACGTTCAGTGTGGGAAGAAACCATGACCTCTCGATCGCCTGCCACACCGATTTGACACCGGTTGAATGCTGTGGTGTGGAGTAAACCAGGCTGCTGGTCGTATTTTGTCTACTCACAACATTCCAGTAAAGTCTTCCACAGCGGCAACCTTGTCTTTGAGGCGGCTATTGACGCACAACTTAAGCGTGCACTTCCCATCTGGATTTTCTTCTCGTCTGGTAGAAGAATTCGAAGCAGTACATCTACTCTTCTCTCCACTGCTTGAAGCCCCAGACAAGGGCCCACACGCCGACCTCCATACCATCTTCAAGACGTGGTAGCCCTCTGTCGCACTATCACAGCCCCCGTTAAGCGTCGCTTCAAATGCCCAAGGCTTCCACTAAAATATTAGCATTTGCGTTCATACGGCACCTATGCGAGTGTTCTGATCTCGTCAGGGTACCCTACGAGAACTCGCATGGATTTAAAGATAGAGTGAGAATATCGTCATCTCGCGAAGCGCCTACGTGTGTCGTATCTCTTACATTTCGTTGCTTCTGCTCACGTCCATGCTTATATATTAGGAATAATCAGAAAAAATCGTGGTGCAAGCTCGTCTTGCTGGGGTCGTGCCACCCTCATATCTTTTTGTCGTAGACGTTACGGGCTGATCAAGGGCTAAATGGCATGCGGTCTATGAATCGGACGAATAGTTCCACCGTCAAATTTTAAAGTGAATTGTACGCACTATCCAGCTCTCTCTCCCTTTGTCGAACACATCCGTCTCTGTAATTATTGTTGGCTCGTCAGATTGCCATCGATTCTCCAGCCTTCGCACCTCCTCTTTGCGTCACGTACACGGCTGAACGCTACTGTAAATGGCAGGGTCGTCGATCGCAGTGTTTTGGGATTTTTGGTAGAGTCTATACGTCCATTATATCGTTCTGCGACTCATGACCTCTTCAAGGACTTCCGATCGCACTGCAGTCGATATATAATCATCTTCTGCAACTTTCCTACCCTTTCCAGCATCTAACAACCCCATCGTTCTCGAAGACTCTGGTAGTGCGTCATAAGCCTTTCGATCAACATGGAGACTGCTGCAACTTCAACAGGAACACCCGCATTCGCTGGGGGATACATTTCACTGTCCCCGTCGTCGTCTTTGGCTCATCGCCGCAGTCGAACACCAGGGAATCCCTGTTTTTCAACGACGACTACGATTTTATCCGGCGTATTCAGAGCACCAGGGGGTCGTATTTCCGTCACAAGCGACAGCAGTGCATATGTCAGGGTCCATTGTTACTGTCTTTGTAGCTGTGCTATAAGTCGAAGCGTACAATGACGCGACTACACTGGGGAGCGTCCTTGTCTTTGTACCAAGCTATTCTCACCCTTAACGCGACGCGACGTGTTTCACAGCCTTTTCGTTCTCATTTTCGCGCCAGAAAATCCTTAACTCAACAGCACTGTATTTGTGGCATCTTCCCCGGCTTTTCTCTCACACTGCTTTGAGGATACGTTCTTCGCATCCGTCATTTCAACATACAGTGAATGGTACGTCGGTTCTCTGCTTCGAGCTTAGCCAGAGCTGGCGGGAAGAACGTTTACAATTGCTATCAAGCTTGATGCATCTGCTCTTCCCGTAGCACCCTCTTTGAGATTGGAGGAGAGGACTGCATATATGCATACCGCTGATATCTCGTCCTGGAGTGCGAAAGTAGATATTATTTTAGATGGGATTATCTCGTCGACCGGTTTCTGACAGACAAAAGCATAATATTGTAATCGTACGTGTGCTGGTTTCATACAAACTGCCTGCTAACATTTGATTTATAGCATATAACTATTCGTGGAATTACCACGTTTAAGCCCATACCTCAGACTGGGGTGTTCCCCCCTCACGACGTGTGCTGGAGCCTGACTTTGCGCGTAACAAGTATAAATCGTTTTTCCTATGTTGTCGTCATCCCCACTACGATGCGTCTTTCGCCTATCGTCCTTAGCTCTAAGATGTAGCGACATCTCTTGCGGTGCTCGCATAGATGTCGCACATAACCCGTGTTCTTTTGATGCAGTCGTCGCCTACCACTAGTCACCTCGAACTGTGGGTTCTGCAAAACAATTCCTTCAATATTTTCAAATGATATCGTATGGGGAATCGAAGGTGATAAAAAGATTACAAGCATCAGTTCACGCAGCACTGAAGCCGTTAGGCTACAGCATCACAACTCCAAAACGTACAATGTGCATCATCGGCCCCAGAGCGGCCCGACACCCGTGTTTACGTATATTGACCTGACTGGTTTTTCTTCCTTGTCACTTATCATCACCATCCGCTCCAACCCTCGCACCCTTAACAAGGACAGTAATTACCGCGGGCAGATAAACCGCAATGACGGTTGTGGACGGAAAGATGCTGTTCGTCGCATTTGGACGCCATCGAAGGATTGTCAAAACTCCATGAAGCCGATTACCAAGGACGTTTGGCGTGATGGTTGGGTATTAGACTGTGGAGGAAAAGGCGCGGAGCGTGACGAGGGGTTGACGCAGCATGCACAGGGTTGTTGGGTGGTTGGCTGCAGGCACGCCGAGAACACGACGCTAATTCTCCAGCTGCTTCAAATCCGGGGCTCTCCTCCACATCCTCAAAATCGTCGTAGAAATCTGGTCCAGTCGGAACACCGTAGGACGTCCTCTCCGGTCAAGGGTACATTTCGGCTTGCCCGCAGCGCAGGCTCACGATCCCAGAAGACGGCAACTCGAGAATCACGCGTGACGCGAGGCTCTTCTTGCGATATAGTGACAGTGCTCGTAACTAGGTACGTGACGTCTTTCCTGGTCCTTATCTCGCTCACGTTCCTTCTAGAATATCATCCTCCTTTCCCATCCAAGGGCTGCGTATACTCCACACTGAGGTCGGGCTCGTCGAGGAGGCATGCTTCTGAGACGAGCGATTTTCCGATCGGGAGAGCGAATAACACTGCTTACGGAGGACCTGGCGCGTGATGGTCTGGAATCCGGAAACAAGAGTTGATAGAATCAAAAGTTGTAGGGAGTCCTGCAGCAGGAGGCGCAGACCGCGGCGAGAGTAGCAGAGACGGAGCTGAAGGACGTAACAACAAGCGAAGGGCGGTCACCCGTGAACGGCACAATGCAGTATCTTCAACTAGACTCGCAGCGATCATGGTGAGCTTTCTTCCTAGATGCAGTTATATGCTATCCTGACAGTCCGCCTGGTAGCTGCCGTCATGTGATTTATCTCACCCACAAGGCGAAGCTCAAGCCTGGGCCTGAAATTTAACACGACCATCATTTTCCAGGCACGCAACGCCTAACCCAGCACCAGCAGCCCGAACGCACGCCTAGATACTGGATGGAATCGTTCCAGTTGCATCTCCGCGCATGAACCAGATCATAACCCTCTCCCCTCGCCAGCCCGTGCTTTCCATCATTTTTCAACCTCCCTGTAGCTCAGCGGCGCACTCTACCATTGTAGGTCCTGCTACTGCCCGTTTCCGCTCTCTGTTCTCCCTAATCGGATACCATCGAGTTCTGGCAACCCATTCCCGAATAAGGCGTTCGAGACGGTCTTCCAGTACTTGCAGCCCAACACGTCGCGTCTTACCCCTCTCTTCTCCCTTTCACGATATGATGCTTCCGCCACTCACAGCAGGGTCACGATCCTAGATGGCGGCAAGTAATCTGTACTGAATAACGAAGCGTTCGAGACTCTTCCGGAGATATACGTAATTGAGTATGTAGTTTCTTATCTGGTCTTTCTCTCGCTCATTTTCCTCTTAGCATATAATCTTCGTTACCCATCCAAGGAGTGCGTACACTCAAAACGGCGGTGGAGCGTATCGTGTTTTCTGGTCGGGAGAATGACCCTCGGCCCGTGCTCCACAATATAAGATCTGGCGTGATCGTCTGGCATTCGGAAACTACGGAGCGAAAGATTGGAAGGATACCTCGAAAAGGAAGCGCGGAGCACGACAAAAGCAACATATCTCGAACCGAAGCGTGCGGAGGGCGATTACCGGCGGAACTACATGGTTTCCTTAGGACCAAAAACGAAGACACAAGGGCGCGCAACAGGATGGGTGCGGCACGCCGACGGCTTCATCAGCCAGACTCACCACGAGCATGGTAAGCCTCCTCCTTGGACCAAGTAGTAGGCTATCTTGACAATCCGTCTAGTGCCCTGCCATCATGTTATTCCGTTCACCTCTGGAACACGACCCTCATTGACGCTATGCCGCCCGTAATGCCGAACACGACACCAGCGTCCCAAGCGCGCGCCCAGACATACCGGGAAGCTTCTCTACGCCAAGCCTATCCCAGCCCGAGGTTGCCATCAGATACCACAGACATCGATCCAGTCCCGGCTTCGCGCATGAACCAGATGATGGCCCCTCTCCCGTCGTGAGCTCGCTTTTTCCATCAAGTTTCGGCCTCCCCCGGCGGCGCGTCCTGCTATTGCCCATTTCTTTTCTTCCTCTGCTCTCTCTGCTATTATGCCTCCTGCAACTCGTTACACAGAGAACAACACATTCGAAACACTCTTCTCTCACACTGCTTTGAGGAGACGTTCCTCGAATCCATCATTTTAACATGCAGTCAACGGCCACGTCGGATCTCTGCTTCGAGTTTAGCCAGAGCTGGTGGGAAGAACGTTCACAATCGCTTTGAAGCTGGATGCATCTGCTCTTCGCGTAGCACTGTCTTTGAGATTGGAGAGGACTGCATATATGCGTACCGCTGATACATTGTCCTGGAGTGCGAAAGTAGATTTTTTGATAGATGGAATTCTCTCGTCCGGCGGTTTCTGACTAATATTGTAATCGTACGTGTGCTGGTTTCATACAAAATACCTGCTAACATTTGATTTATTGCATCTAAGTATTCGTTGAATTACCACGTTTAAGCCCATACCTCAAACTGGGGTGTTCCCCCCTCACGACGCTGATTCCTGTGTGCTGGAGCCTGAACTTTGGCCGTAACAAGTATAAATCGTTTTCCCTATGTCGTCGGTATCCCCACTATGACGCGTCTTTCGCCTATCGTCCCTTAGCTCTAAGATGTAGCGACATCTGTTGTAGCCCTCACATAAGATGTCCCAGGTAAACCATGTTCTTTTGAAGCAGGACTCCTAGGACATCCTTACAGTTCGTTTACACGGCGAACTGTGACGTTGTGATAGTTCGGGAGATTTCTTTATGACGTGCAGTAGCTACTGCACCTCTGAGTCTCCCTGCAATGCGTATTCGCTCTCTAACGAATAATAACCCATCGACGACCAGATTCATCATCTGGTAGGCATAATGCTAATAAATTGGTGGTAACGCGTGGAATCATGGGTGCAAGTCTTTCATCTTCGGGTCCGTAACTCGGTAATGATTGTTGTTGCTACCCGAAATGTTCCCAGAATTAAGCTTTGGGGAACTAATCGTAGCCAAGATGCTGCGTGGTGAGGCCAACTCCGGCTCATCAAGAGAAGCGCGTGTTCCGTTCTTCTGATACCGTAGTTGGCTAGAAGACTTTGAGATGTGGAAGCAGACTCGGACAAAATCCATCTGGACGAAACATACGTTCTCGTAATACGGCACCTCGAATTGAGGACTCTGCAAAACAATTCCTTCAATATCTTCAGATGATATCGTATGGGGAGTCGAAGGTGGATTAAAAACGTCCCGAACAATCAGCTCACGGCAGCACTGAAGCCGTTAGACTACAGTGTCACAACTCCAAGACGTACAATGTGCATGATCGGCCCCGAGCGGCCCGACACCCGTGTTGATGTCTATTGATCTTGCTGGTTTCTGTCGCTTGCCATCACCATCCGCCCCAACCCTCCCACCCTTAACAAAGGACCGTAACTACCACTGGGCAGATAATCCACGACGACGCTTGTAGACGGAAAGATACTGTTGGTCGCATCTCGATGCTATCGAAAGAAAGGATTGCGGAAATTCCATGAAATCGATTGCCGAGAACGTTTAGCGTGATGGTTGGGTGTAAGACTGTCGAGGACAAGATGCGGAGCGTGACGAGGGGTTATAAAGGGTGGTGCGGCGTGCACAGTGTGGTTAGCCGCGAACCTCCTCTGTCAAGAACCAGAGACGAGGGCACGCCGAGAACACGACGCTAATTCTCCAGCTGCTCAAATCCGGGCTCTCCTCCACATCCTCAAAATCGTCGTAGAAATCTGGTCCAGTTGGAACACCGCAGGACGTCCTCTCCGGTCGAGGATGCATTTCGACCACTCCTCCTCTTCTTGGTTCTTCAGCTTCCTGCCTGCAGCGCAGGCTCACGATCCCAGAAGGCGGCAATTCGAGAATCACGCGAGAATCTTTCTGCTCGTAACTAGGTACGTCACGTCTCCCCTGGTCCTTATCTCGCTCACGTTCCTCCTAGAATAGCATCCTCCTTCCCCATCCAAGGGCTGCGTATACTCAACACCGAGGTCGGGCTCGTCGGGGATGCATGCCTCTGAGACGAATCATTTTCCAGTCAGGAGAGCGACACTCGGTGCTCCATAACACTGCCTACTGAGGACCTAGCGCGTACTGGTCTGAAACCGGAAACAAGGGCTGATGGAATCAAAAGTTGGAGGCCCAGACGGCGACGATAGCAGCAGATATGGAGCTAAAGGACCGATTGACAAGCGAAGGGCGGTCACCTGTGAACGGCACGATGCAGCATCTTCAACTAGACTCACAACGAGCATGGTGAGCCTCCTCCTTGGATGCAGTTATACGCTATCTTGACCATCCGCCTAGTAGCTGCTCTCATGTGATTTCTCTCACCCCCAGGCCTGAAACACGACCATATTCTCCAGACATGCGACGTCGAAAACGGCACTAGTAACCCAAGCACGCGCCTAGATACCGGATGGAACCATTCCAGTCGCGTCTCCATGCACGAACCATATCATAACCCTCCCCCCTCACAAGCCCGTTCTTTCCGTCATTCTTAGCTTCAACCTTCGGCTCGTTCTGCCATTGTACATCCCACTGTCACCCGTTTCCACCCTCTGCTATCTCTAATCGTATACTATCGAGTTCTGGTAAACCATATAAGGCGTTCGAGACGGTCGTCCAGTACTTGCAGCAGAATACGTCGCGTCTTATCCTGCCCTTCTCGCTGTCACACTATGATGCTCCTGCCGCTCACAGCGCAGGCTCATGATCCCAGATGGCAGCAAGTGTGCTGTACCGAACAACGATGCGTTCGAGACTCTTCTGGGGATATAGTGACAGTGGCCATAATCGGGTATGTAGTGTCTTACCTGGTCTTTCTCTCGCTCATTTTACTCTTAGCATACAATCCTCGTTTCCCATCCAAGGAGTGCGTACACTCAAAACGACAGTCAAGCGTGCTATGATCGTCAAAGAGGTATTAAGAGCAGAGGTTTTCCGGTCGGGAGAACGACCCTCGGTACTCTACATCATAAGATCTGGCGTGATCGCCTGGCGTTCAGAAACGAGTGTCTATGAAGCCAAAAATTGGAGGGAGACCAGGAAAATGAAGTGCAGAGCATGACTAGGGCAATATATCTTGAACCGAAGCGTGCGGACGGCCGTTACTGACGGAACAACAAGGCTTACCTAGGAACCAGAGACGAGGACAGAAGGGCGCGCAACAGGAAGCTAGCAATTTGACGACGTCTTACTTAGCCAGACTCACAATGACCATGGTAAGCCTCGTTGAAATCAAGTAATACGCTATCCTGACAGTCCATCTAGTGCCTGCCATCATATTATTCTTTTTCACCGCTGCAACACGACCTCATTCTTCAGGCGCGTAATGCGGAACCCAGCCTGAAAACGCCATCATACACCCCAGACTCCGATCCGGTCACAGGAACGCGATGATGACCCTCTGCCATCTCGAGCCCGCACTTTTCCAACCTCCTTGTACCCCGGTGGCGCGTTCTGCAACTGTACATCCTGCTCTCGCCCATTTCCGCCCTCTGCTCTCCGAAATGGACACTATAAAGTTCCTGTACTCCTTACACAGAGAACACTTCTCCGCGGTTATGGTGACAGTCCTAATTATAACTCTCCAGCCGCTTAAATCCGAGCGCGCCTCCACATCCTCGAAATCATCATGGATGATACCCCAGAAGGTCCTCCCCAGTCAACGGCGCATTCCCGCCACTCCTCGACGTCCTAGAAACTGCGAACTCGGTGGTCCCTCCGAGTCGTTTCCAGCCTCTGCTTCCCCAGATTTTAATTGCCGTCACTTCTAGCGTGGGCTCACGATCTCAGAACGCGGCAATCGCCATTGGAGAACGACGCGGGACTCATCCTGCGATATAGCGACAGTACTCATACGACAGGCCTTTCCTGGTCCTTATCTCGCTCACGTTCCTACCAGAATACCATCTATCCTCCTTCCCTATTCCCGGGCAGCATATATTACACACTGTGTTCGGGTTCGTCGAGGAGGCGTGCTTCTGAGACGAGTGGTTTTCCGGTCAGGAGAGCGAATAACACTGCTTACGGAGGACCTGCCACGTGATGGTCTGGAATCCGGAAACAAGAGGTGATGGAATCAAAGGTTGGAGGGAGTCTTGGAGCAGACCGCCACGGTCTGAGCAGAGATGAAGCTAAAGGACGTAGCAACAAGTGAAGGGCGGTTGCTAGTGCAACCGCGAGACTAGGGACATGATTGCGCCCGACAGGGGGCTGACGGCACGACAGCAGCTTCAACTAGACTCGCAACGGGCATGGTGAGCATCATCCTTGGACGGAGTTAAACGCTATCCTGATGATATCGCTTGACTTGCGTCCAGGTTAAGGCTTAGCAATGTGATGGGAAAAGAGAACGACACGTTCGAGACTCTTCCGGGATATAGTAACAGTACCCGTGATTGGGTGGGTATGTAGTGCCTGGCCTGGCCTGGCCTTTCTCTCACTCATTTTCTTCTTAGCATATAATCTTCGTTACTCGTCCAAGGAGTGCGTACACTCAAAACGGAGGTCGAGCGCATCTTGATTGTCGAAGAGGTGTTGAGAGCAGAGATTTTCCGGTCGGGAGAACGACGCTCGATACTCCACAACATATGTCGTACCGTGATCTTGTGGTTTTCGGAAACGGGAGTCGACGAAGCCAAAGATTGGATGGTTACCACAACAATGAATCGCAAAGCTCGACGAGGGCAATATATCTCAAGCTTTAAGCGTGTGGGGGTGGGTACCAGTGCAACCACAAGGTTTACACAGGGGCACGCAACGGGAAGCGAACGGCACGATGGCTTTTCAGCCAGATTCAAAACGACCATGGTGGGCTTCCTCCTTGGGTCAAGTAATACTCTATTTTGACCGACCGTCTAGTGCCTGCCGTCCTGTTATTCCTTTCATCGCTACACCAAAACATCATTCTCCAGGAACGTAAACCAGAATTGCCGAGCGCGCCCCCAAATACCGGATTCACTCACTTCACCGCTCTAAGCCCAACCAGCCCCAGATCGCCGAACTATATGATAGCTCTCTCCTGTCGCGAGCCCGTTCTTTCCATCAAATTTCGACCTCCCCGGCATCACCTCCTGCTATTGCCCGTGTCTCCCTCTGCAACAATGCGTTCGAGATCAATCTTCTCCGTGGTCATGGTGACGGTACTTGCAGCATTGTATGTGTCGCATCTTACTGGGCTCTTCTCTCTTATACACATCTCCTAGCGTACTGTTCTTGTCTACATGATATCATCACGCCTCTTGGTCTGTATCCCCTCGTCTCGAAATCCTCACCCAGTTGATAACCCACAATACGCTCCAGCACGCACATGCTCCTTCGAACGTTACTGGAAACCAGGAGCAAACACACTTCTCTAGTTAGCGTCTTTGCGATTGAAGGGAAGCACTGCGTATATGCATACCAGCGTAGCGTCTCGCTGCAGGGTACAACGTCGGAAAGTATCCATACGGTCTGCTAGTATTTTAATCGTACGTCTGTCATTTTCCTCCAAACGACTCGACGGTATTAACGTTTGATTATAGCATATATCCATGTAACTAACCCTGTTGAATACGAACTCGTGCTCGAGAGATATATCTACTCTTAGTGTCAAGTTTTCGGCATCATTCAAGGGTACCGACGAGCTGATGAAACCGGCCGCACGCAATTATGAAAACACCTTTGCAACCACCATGGCGAAAGATTAAAATTTCGTCCTTGAAGCTTGATAATTTGGGGAGACCACCCCGGCTTTCGCTACCTCATGTCGGTCCGCGTTCGCAGGAGACTGAATTAGTCGTGGTTACCCACACCATGACGCCTATCGCTGGGCTGATGGATGACATCAAATCATTCGTGTTCTTTTGCAAGGTCGTTCATAGGGCACAAGGAAACCCCCCCCCCAATGTCTATGCGTGACTGACCTCCTTTCTATTCATGAGTTCACCAGATATTAGGTTACATCACGCGGTTTACATACTGCCGTGAGACAGATATAGTCTAGACGTGCGCCCAACAACGACCATCGTCCCGGATTAACATCATGTTCGCGGATATTTTTGAACGCTCCCCTGTTAAGAGAGTAAAGGAGTTTCTGATGTTGACCTAGATGCAGGTTTAGCTTGCATTTGAGTATATGGTGAGAGCGCTCGTCCATAGCCATACGGTTGATGAAGGGTCAAAAAGCAATGTTCCGGTGGATTCCGAAATTCGCAAATACGCGTAATTTTGCACTACGCACTAATGATGGTCCCTTGCCCATGCCGTCTTGCTCTCTGGGGGTGTAGTAAGCTTAACGAGAGTTCGAACATGCCAGGCGGTTCCTTACATGCATAATGGAGTGCTATGAGCATTGAGACTTCAGAATCGACATGGGTGTTGTTTTGAAAATTCGGTAAATGCTTCCTTGGCTTTCTTCGTGTTACGACTTATTCCTTATAAAGGTGAATCCAAGCACACTTAATATCTAACTTGGGCACTATGCTACCCGACGACTGTAAATGCCGTCGCTGCAGACTGAACTACTCGAGCAGGCTTGTATGCCCGCCAATCCTACTAACGATATTTTTAAGGGCAATGGAAATGTTCTTAGAGGCATTGTGGCGACATCGTGTCTTCCCACGTACATTTATCATTGCACATCGATGCTTATGTTACATTGTGGGTGTATCACAACAACGATAATAATACCACTGCGCTACAAAGTTAGTACGTCCCCTACCACTTCCTTCCTAGTACCTTTGTTTACTTCCAGAACAGCAGCCGCACCTTTCGTTTTCCAGTGCAATGTCCTCAAATGACGGGAACAATGCTGTTGCCATTCGAATGTACGTCCTGGGGGCAAGGATTCAATAATATTTTTCAGGGACTGTGACCAGCCTTTCGTTTGCTTTGCATTCCTTCCCATCTCTGATGTCTTCCTCACATATTCCTTCTCTCCTATATATTCTATTGAGCAATACGCCTCCTTGTCATCGCATGACGCTCAGTACCTTCATCTCTGGCCCTGTGATACTTACCTAGGGTCGACGAGTTCGTTTCGGCATGGTCTGCAATGCTGTGCACCGTTGGATTCGTTGAATAGCATTCACATTTCAACAACGGATATTCGTCGTCATCAGGATACTGTTCTTCCATGGAGAAGGGAACGAGCATGGTATAGATACCTCATCGACAGCACCATAACGTAGGCGATAGTTTTGGTAAGGTTTATGGCTGCATTGCTGATTTAACATCTCTAACGGTATAATATAGCAATCTATAACTGTACAAATTCTTGGTGTTTATATATTCGTTGTTCGATCCCACCCCCTGACACAAGTAACCCTGCCTACGTCGTCTGGTACCAAAGGCGTGCACGCATGAAATCACCAGCAACAACTGGTGTCTGCATGCGCTGCCGTGGTAGACCCTTTACAAGATTGGCATATGTCAATTCCTTCGTACATAAACCCGATCTGAGAGCTCCAACGAGTGAATGGGTAAAAATCCCATTAAATCCTCCTCTGAACTCGTATTCCCTCGCGGATTCGAATTCCCTACACGCTGCCAAAACGACATGAGAAGACATATCCGGGAACCATGTCTTTTCCATTACGGAAGTACGGTTGGAAATGGACTTCAAGTTCTGCATTCCGACACGGAGCATAATATCGCGTGCATCGGTTAGGGGAAAAGCACTGCGCATCCTAGGTATCGGTTCTCTAGTGATGCTGGCAGAGTGGCAGCAGTCGAGGATGACGGTGATATGATTCCCTTTAACTCGGGAAATTTCATGAAGCACTGTATTGAGTTCTCGATCACTGATGTCGGGAACTATGCGTCCGTTGGAAACATCGATGTTGCGGTCGATGGGACAGAGTGCCTCGATTGGGCAGAAAGCATCGATACCTTGGTAACCTTTGGTGTTCGTGACAAAGTTTGGCACCGATTCACGTGTATCCGGGATAATCGACTTCCCTTCCCTGATGGCTCTTATGCATTGCGAACAAGGGTAGCTCGAACCGTGACCGGAATAATAAATGACGATATTGTCTCCCTTCTTGATATGGGAGTTATTGATAAGACTGCGAAGGGTTTCCATGATATTGTTGCGGGAAGGAATGGAAGGATCGTTAGGGGTGGTATGCCTTCGACCAAGGAGAAGCTGTATGCGGTTGCTGGGTACCTTGAGATCATCTTCCAAATATGTCTTCATCAATAACCCATCTTCAACACAGCCACGCAGTGGAAACGTCTTGTACCCATCGATGCCAATTATAACAGCCCAAAACCGCGAGGCATCGACGTAGTGTGGAGTCTGTTCCACCGGTGATCAATATGAAGGTGAATAAGAATAGATTGCGCTCACCCGTGATGAAGCAATGCTAGGAAAAGACTCTGGTTCAACGGCTCCAGGCCTTATTCCTGATTCATACCGCTGAGTACGTAGCTGATAGAGCATATGAAGCTTTTCATATAGCATCTGGTAAGATGCATCGCCGGTCGATGCTATCTCCTTTGCCTTTTGATGTATAGCTACAGAGTCGATATCCCGAGGGTCGGTATCAACATCTGCGAAACCATGCTTCACGGCAAATTCCTTCTCCAGTTTTTCTAGAGATGCAGCTACGTCTCCATTTGCGTCGTTTTCAGGATCGTCCATTGGCAATGCATCTGGAAGATCAATATCATCCTGAGGTTGACGGTGAGAACAAGCGCTGAGAGATCTACAAATTTAGTATACCGGGGCTTCAGCATCCGAGTCATCGGCAAAACACCGATGCAAAGAGTGGGGTTGCAAGTGATCTGTATCCTAGGAAATTTTCGTGTCCGTTAGCAAAAGCAAAAAAGTGAGAGTTAAAGTAGGCTCGTACAAGGCCATTCCCAGTCGAATCACTTGAGCTACCATCATTTTCTAATACCAATGCGACATGATGTACTTCCAAGTCAGCAGATGCTTCATTCTGCGATGCCTCTAAAGAGAAATTCGACTTGCTGTCGATTATAGAGTCATGCTCGTCGTGCACTATGTGCATACGGCTGAATCTCATGGTTGTGTTGCAGGATGGATTTCAGGAGGCGAAGAATTGGTGGGAGATGTCTAAGGTGTTACCCAACTTTTCTACGACTTTCTTCGGTTATATTTAATGCGGAACAGCTCTATGTAATTACAATCAATTATTTGGGTATACCAGTGCTTCGGCGTTGTCAGAAGTCATCAGAGATACATTGCTAGGCGCCCGACCAAAAATGCTAACCTGCGATAGCATCGGAGACTGTTGAAATTCGAGCACGGGAGGGAACGAAAATGAGCAACTCGTTTATACTTAGTATGTCGACATGGTGGTAAACGGTAAAGAAAAGAAAACTGCGGGTACGGTACGTAACGGGTTCGGAGCCGGTTGATTCCGACGGCTCGTACAGCCACAGTAACTCCCACAGAGACATGTTAGGTTGGTTTTCATTAGCACTTCTCCCAATACTCGTGATGAAAACCGTTTCCGTTCTGTACCAGAAGCGATATTAGTATCCAGCCAAACATCGGGAATAATGCTATGGAGCCAGAAATCTCGGACATTCCAGCATGATCCTGGCGTCAAATTCAACGCGTCTATCATTATTCCAAACAGTGTAAGTTTTTATGACGGAAGGCACTAGGCATGATGGGGAGCTAGGTGGTGTCAGTGATATACATTCATTGTTCGCTGGATCCCCACTTCCGGAGAAGGTATGATATCATATTAAACCTTACAAGGAAATTTAGACCTTCTTGTGGAGTATGGCGGCAGCTGAGCGTCAATCATCTCATTCTGCGTTCGCAGGGTTCCTGGAACCAAAATATTCAGACCTCAAGTCTGTGCGTCTACCCAGTACGATTGTATATCTTCCAGTGGCAAGTCTGGTTCCTTTTTGGGACCTTGGCCGGTTATCTATCTATCTGTTTAGGACTAGTATCACAGGAAACACTCGTAACGTGGTCTTTTTCTGCTCAATCACACAACTATGATGTAACCATGGCACTGCATACCACCCTTGTAAGCGGCCGGTGCAATGGAACTACGTGGGAATCTCTCACCACCCCCATATTAAGCGCCGGTCCTCCTCAATTACTCACACCCCAACAACCTCATGCAGCGTGGTCTCTACTTCACGGGATTGGTGAGCGCTCCTTTCCTATGTACCCTAGTCTCTTTCGTATTGACGAAAACCACAAAGATCTTTGCACCGCCGAGAGAACATTCAGATGGTCCTGTGAATTTCTTATCACAGGTGGATTCTGTGAGTGATTTGTATTGTTGACTGTACAATGCTGGAACATTGGTTCAGAAGGCACCGTCAAAATTGATCAGCTCTCTAGAGCAGTCCGAGAAACAGCTGGCACTAGAATATGGAGCGATGACGGGAGCGGAACATGAGGTTGATTCGGCGGGAGCGTTACAGGAGGCGATAGCCAGGGCAGCACACAAGAACTATGACCCTTTGTTTCCTGCGTATCAAAGTCACCAACACTATTTCAGGTCAAGATTTCGAGACAAATCCGATACGTTGCCGTTTCTTGAGAAACAAAGTAGCGCCTCGATTGTCGAAGTAATTGACAATTCCGATCTTTAGTACGATTTCTAATCTTCTATTTCAGTCCCCTCTCAATGTTGGGCGTTCACCATTCTGGGCCGTAATAATCGGAATCGATGCATATGATTCGTATCCATTGCGAGGCTGCGTATCAGATGCTTTATTGGTTGCAGAATACTTGCAAGAGGACGTAGGAGTTCCCCAAGAACAAATACAGCTCCTTCTTGGTTCTGAACATGCCTCATGTGAGGATCCGTCCTACCCGTCCCGTGTCAACATCATCAAGGCGCTTCTGGGTCTCATCAGCAACCCATCAATTCTACCCGGCGATAACATCATCATTTACTTTTCCGGTCATGGCGCGGGTTATTCCTCAAGCGATTATTTCCACAGCGACACCGATTCAGACGAGGCTGACGAGAGTCCTCGTGCAATAGATCGATCCATCGAGGCCATCTGCCCCATCGACAGAGATACCATCGACGCCAGCGGGTTACATGTCCCCGACGTCAGCGACCGGGAAATCAACGGCATCTTTCAGAAGATTTCTCGTAGCAAGGGACACCGAATTACCGTTATCCTCGACTGTTGCCATTCAGGTAGACATACTCGACATTTCCCAGATCCCGGCACACGTACCATTCCCCCACTTCCACGTGCATCCCTCCGACGTATGCTGGACAAGGTGAACGAAAGTCTTGGTCACGAAGCTTATCAGGAAATCTCATCGAGGGAATGGCGGCCGGATATGTCCTCGTATGTCGTTCTCACTGCGTGCAAGGACTATCAGGTTGCGAAAGAGGTGCAGAATGAGGCCGGGTACTATAATGGGATTTTCACCCAGGGTCTTATTGGTACCCTGAGATCGGGAAAATTGAGTCAAGAATCAACGTACGTAGATCTCCTTTTTTCCTTACCACAGAGACGTGGCCAAACTCCGGTTGTCGCTGGGAAACATAAGCGTGAGAGCCTTTGGTACAAGGTTTAGCCATCTGGAACTTAAAGTATCTATCATACTCTTCTCGTTCCTATGTTTCTTCCTTTACCTGACGATCCCAAGATTTGTACGGATTCTTTTTATGATAATATCAATGTGGGACGATACAGCGTTACCGGTTCGAGGGAACAGATTCACACGATTCAGACTCGGACCCTACCCTTCTGAATGTGAACAACGACCATATTCTTTGGATGATCTCCACGGAGCCAGCCACACCATCGACAATCTATCTGTGTCCGACACCCACATATCCGCCCATATGGGCACAGTTATAGAGGATAGCATGGGTACCTTTCATTGGCGATCTGATCATCTTGTAGGCACTCACGGAACTTTGAATGCGGCGAGCTGTAAAATGCTGTGTGAAAGCTTCCAGGATGCAGTGCGTATCGCTTCCTTTTCATTTATGCTCCATGATTTGACAAACTCTATTCAGCGGCATATGCTGATCGTAGCGCGAAGTGATGCGGTGCGATAACCAGGTGAGAGGCCCCGGCTCATCAAGAGAAGCGCGTTAGGGTTGCGCACGGAACCCTACGTTTTGATACACCGGGGTTTATTCCCGGTAAGTTACCCTCCTCCTAGAGGTTTCGTGAGCAACCCTAAAGTGCGTGTTCTGTTTTGTTTATACGCAGTTCCACAGAGGGATATTGGAGAACGCGTCTTCATGGGCATTAATTGAGACTTCGATGTGTCAAAGCGAACTCGGACAAATTCTATGTAGACGAGATGTGCCACCATTCTTGACCTCATAACGTTAAATTGAGTGCTCTGAAAAACAATTGCTTTCAAAGTTCTCAGACGCTATCGCTGTGGGAATCGAACGTGACAAAATATTTTCGGCAATAGGATAACGCAGCACCCAGCCGTTGAACCAAAAGTGCTACGGTTTCGGCAGGTGGGGGCTCGTGGGAATGATCGGCCCGACACCCGTGTTTACATCTATCGATCTCGCTGGTTTTCTTCCTCCTTGTCATCATCATCCGCTCCAAACCTCACACCCCTAACAAAGACTGTGACTCACTGAGGAGAAGAACTGACAGTAGGAAAAGCTATAGTTCTCACTCGCATTTCAACCCCATCGATTTATGAAGGGACTGCTGAAGCTCAGTGATACCGATTAGCGAGGACGTTTGGCCGATACGGCGTGATGGTCGGGTGTCACTGCTAGTCCATTGAGAGCGATGCACGCAACATGATGTGAGAACATAAAGGGTGGTGCAGCGTGCAGAGGATGAATCGATGATTAGCCGTGGAACTGCTCAGCTTAGTCAGGCACTAGAAACGGAGAACACGACACTAATTCTCCAGATCCTCCTTGGATGCAGTCATACGCTGTCCTGACCGTTCGCCTAGTAACTCCCGTCATGTGATTTCTCTCGCCCCCAGGCCTGAAACACGACCATATTCTCCAGGCATGCGACTCTGAACACGGCACTAGTAGCCCAAGCACACGCCCAGATACCGGATGGAATCATTCCAGTCGCGTCTCCGCGCATGAATGAGATCATAACCCTCTCCACTCACGCGCGCGCTCTCTCCATCATTATTCAACCTCCTGCACGTTCTGCCATTGTACATCCTGCTACCGCCCGTTTCCGCTCTCTGCTCTCCCGAATCGGATACTATCAAGTTCTGGCTACCCATTCCGCCATTATACTGCTCAGGGAATAAGGTGTTCGAGTCCCTCTTCCAGTACTTGCAGCTGAGTACTTCGCGTCTTACTCGGCCCTTCTCCATTTCACAATTAGATACTCTGGCTCTCGGTCCCAGATGGCGGCAAGTATGCTGCACCAAACAGCGACGTGTTCGAGATTCTTCCGGGGATATAGTGACAGTAGCCGTAATCGGGTATGTAGTGTATTACCTGACCTTTCTTTCGCTCATTTTCCTCTTAGCATATCATCCTCGTTACCCATACAAGGAGTGCGTACACTCAAAACGGCGTTCAAGCGTATCGTGGTCGTCTAAGAGCTGTTGAGAGGAGAGATTTTCCGGTCGGGAGAACGACACTCGGTTCTCTACATCATGGGACCTGATGCGATCGTCTGGCGTTCCGAAACGAGATTCGAATTCGATGGAGCCAAAGACTGTAGGGAGATCACGAAAAGGAAGCGCAGAGCACGATGAGGGCAACATATCTCGAACCGAAGCGTGCGGAAGGCGATTACCGGCGGAACTACAGGGTTTCCTTAGAACCAAAGACGAGGACACAAGGGCATGCAACAGGAAACGAACAACACGACGGCGGTTTCTTCAACCATACTTACAGCGAGCATGGTGAGCCTCCTCCTTGGACAAAGTAATAATACTCTAGCTTGATAGTCTGTCTAGTGCGTACCATCATGTTATTCCTTTCACTGCTGCAACACGACCTCATTAACATTCTCCGGCCCCGTAATGCTGAACACGGCACCAGCTGTCGAGAGATAATTACCACTTAACCAACGTTGGTTAAGTGGTAATTCCTCTCAACACCAGCATCCCCAGATACCGGATGCATATCGCTTCACTAGCTTCTCCACGCTAAGCCTAACTCCCCGCCATTTCTCAACCTCCTGATACCACCGTGGCGCCTCCCACCACTGTACATCCTACCACCCCCCATTCCCGACGCCTCCCCTCTCCTGATATGACACTTAAAGTTAGGGCAAGACTCGCTCCAAGCCGGCTCTTACGCCATCATTATTGAGATTAGAGGAGAACACTGCATATATGCCCGTTGCGGAATGCAAGGTCGGAAAGCATCCGTGCGACTCCCGATGACATCGACTCTGCAAGCGGTCGACAAGAGTCCTAATACTGTAATAGTACATCTCCCGTTCCATTTCACTGTGCGACAGCTTGTTAATATCTGATTATAGCATATATTCATGTAGATACCCTACCGAATGCGAACGCGTACTCATGTTATTGAGATATCAGGCGATACCTCTACTCTGAGCATCCTGTCTCCGGCATCAGTCCAAGGCTATAGACGTCTGTCAAAGTCATATCATGAAAGCTTTCACTCAAGAACGAACAGACCTGGCCGCACACAATCATGAACGAACCTTGCAAACATTTGCACAAATCTAAGCCTATACCTCAAATTGGGGAGATCTCCCACGGCTTCGCTGATTGACATTGATTCCTGTTTGCGAGAGGCTGATATTGCCTGCAACAAATTACAGTTATGCCATTGTCGCCTCCCGCACGAAAGAACCGAATAGGCCGTGTCTCGCTGCTAATATACAGGTCTCAAGTCTACACCCATTATTACGCACGACCTCACCGTTGCTCATTGTAAGTGATATTTTTCTATTTCCCTCGTCTGTGCACTCATTGATGCCAGGTTAGTCGCGTGGTTAAAATGCCATCTTCCATATAAGGCAGATTCAGTCTAGATGACTCACCCTACCCCACCCGCGTAGTATAACGACATCCTCTCTGGTTAACTTTATCTCGGGTGAGGAGAATTCTGCGTTAGACCCTTGCGTGCGTGCGTTCAACTGCGTTTGAATGCGTTTAACTTGGATGCGTTTGCGTTCCTTCGATGCGTTCAAGTGCGTGACCTGCTGACAGTTGATCTACCTTCAAGAATAATACTGTCATGTGTATTTATATGGTGCACTTATCTACTTTCGATGTATTTTCTGGATATGTTATCGGCAGCTTTCTATGACTTAGAAACAGTGTGAAACTGTCTTGGAAAGCCATAAATGGGTCTATTTTAGTTGTTATATGTCTTAGAACATAATACTCTTACCTCAATATCATTTCGCGTTGAAATAGTTGTGAACCCCGGCTTTTTTTGGACTTTTGGTAAACCGGAAAACTTGCGTGCACCTCTCGAATCGACGCAACTCGCTTACGCAACTCAAAAATAAGTCACGCATGCGTTAATAAATCCAACGCGAGCGTCGTTGTAATAAACGTATGCGTTGCACAAAGTAACGCATGCGTTCGAGACAAAACACAAACGAGAACGCAAATGTGACAATGGTTGTGACGGCGTGTCACGTTTGCGTTAGACTGCGTTGAACTCGAGTTGAACTGTGGTGGTTTCTGCTGTTGCACTTCATATGTGCTTGGCTATACTCTCCAAGCTTATTAGAGATTCTACAGAGGATTCCTGCTATATACGTCTCACTATAATTTGCGGAAACCTACCAATATTTAGCTGAGACGCCTTGAACTGCTTCTCTTTCCTCCGAGTCTGTTTGTATTGCTCATAATATTTTCATACCTCTAACATAGTCTAATATCAATGGAAGCTCTCAAGGTGTGTTTTTCTGAGGGAAATATCCACATGAGTGATCAGGTGAGTTCAAACTTAGTCGGGGAGAGAGTACTTCTATGGGATGAGACCTTATTGGCATTAAAGTACGGTGTTGAGATCTTTTACGAGTACGTTAGACTGTTACATTCCGTCTATTTGATAACTAAAGTACATTAAAAGTATTATTGCTCACGAATGCATCTCTGTCAAGTTCGCACACACAAACGCAAGCGTGACAAACGCATGCGTTTAAACGCAAACGCACGCATGTAAACGCAAACGCAGAATTCACCGTGCCCCTTTCCGAGTCCTATGTATATAGGTATCGGTTATTATGCCAGTTTGAATTATCGTGGGAAATTCTATTCGAGGTATCAAACCTTATCGGCTTTTGCCGACTCATCTACCTGGCCTTACCGTGGGAATATTTCTATTCGATGCCGTCTTTATCCGTTTGCCTATCCCGTTACTTTCCGTTTCGCTTCCCTTTCACGTGCTCGCTTTCTTCCTCTTCCGCCCGCTTTCTTCCTCTTTTTTTTCTTCTCATTCGGCTTTCCTTTTTTGCTTTTCTTTTCTGTCTTTCTGTCTTATGTTCTTGTCATTTATTTCTGCTCTTCCTCATCGTACCATAAGTCAGATCATTTGCAATCTATAATTCATCTATTTCCACGTAGCCTACTCAGTCATTCAAATATCTCTTTCTTTCTCTCCTTCAAAATGTGCCTCCGCCTCCGCCTCTTCCCCTTCTACTTCATACCTTACCATCTCTCCCGCACTTGCTTTCTGTCTCTCCCTCTTCCTCTTTGTACTCAAACCTGGTTTGCCACTTCATCTTCGGCATGTGTTGTGGGTCCTTGTCGCTTGCAGTATCCTTGTTCTTCGCAGCGTTCTGAAATAATGTTAGTTTGCGTGTTTATTCATTCATTGCTCGTAGATTACTGTAGCGTGGTCACAGTTCACTCGCAATATCATCTTCATCCTTACGCTGCCTCCTTGGCACTTCGTGAATATGACAGAGTATTGCGCTTCCACTACGTCGCCTATCTTGAACATATGCGGCTTCGCTTTTACATATCTGTCACCGCTGGTCAGATGGGGTCCATTTGGAGTTGGAATGTCACACTCACTTCTTCTTGCCTCCCTCAATTACGCCCCTGAAATAGCTCACCTCGTTGTCCTCTGTGTGAACCAAGAAGTTATTTCCTGCCAATCTCTCCAGGATACCGTCTGGGTCGACATCCACACTCATGCTCACGGAGATTCCTTCAGGATTGGTGTGCCCTTGGTAATTTGACAGAGTATCGGTTGGCCGGTATTGTGTATTATGGAGTGTGACACTTCACTGCCCAATTTGTAGATGCGGAGAACCAAGTATGGTTTAACAACATCATTGCATTAGGCAGACATTTGTTACAGGAAGGTCAATTGACGATGTCGACATGATGCGAGACAAGATGGGCAAAGACTGCGGCGTGTTCATATATAGGCGGGCCAATATATGAAATCTGGCGTACCCGACAGAAAGAAGACACATAGGACTCGGACATGCCATGCAGATGCGTTGGCCCTCACCCCACTAGTTATCTCCACGGGTATGCGGTCTGTATCTACAGATAAAGGTGCAATTTCCACATTTGCTTGCTATAATTATGCTGTACGCCTCAACTAGAATGGAACTCAAACAAAAGCTCAGCATCGCGGTAAATCAGGATCTTGTAAACTGTACTGTCTGCTTATTTAGACGTGATCAACAAAGGCGGCCAATGAACCGGAACGCCTTATAACTGGATGGGATAGGTCGTGAGCGTACAGCTCAAATAAGCATGCCCACGCAGCGCTAATGGTGCTGGAAGCTGGAGCGGAGGTATTTCAGCAACGCCGGTCTGTGCGACTCCCTCATGCAATATCACAAGCCTATGGTCACTGAACGTTGACGTGATCTGTTCTCTTGGTCTAGACCGTTCGAGTTCCAACTGGTCCTGGGAAGATTGCGTTTCTATGGCAGACAGAATGTGAGCCTGAATCGGATGACTGATGGTCCTTTGTTGTCGGCACCGTATATAATAGGATACAGTGATTACACACACGGTGCTAAAACTTGTATCAGCGCATACATAGTGAGTCTACAGGTGCTCCATCTACAGTATTAAATCGATTTAACTTATGCAGATGTATATCACGATACTTATATGACATCTTCAGATAGAATTAACAACATCCTCAGGCGTCTATCTGTCACTAGCGTGGCTGATGATGGCGGTTTGTTTAGGCGCACCGTAGTCTCTCGGCCCTTTCTTAATCCCACCAGGACGACTCTGGACCCTGAAGGCAGGGGAGGCTTTCGCCTTCGGATGACTCTCCTTGGTCCGACATAAACCTTTTCATGTAACCATGACTTTCTTTTGGTCGGCGTCGGGTATATATAGGAGCAGTATGTGTGCTTGGCCTTCTTTCAATGTGTCATAGCATCCTCATTCAAGTATGACTAGGATTGAGAGAGGAGAATAGCCCTAAGGTCACACTCTCCGCGTTCACTGAGACTCGCAAAGCAAAGTCAACCATTCTAGTCCCAAACCAACGGGTCTACCGTGGTAAAAAACCCGTCATACCATCCAAACTAGCCAACATACCCTGTTCCAACCTTGGTGTCGTCGGTTTATTGGAGAAGCTCAACGCAACACTCACCACGTCATATACACTAGACACATACTTCCTCCCCCACCAGCGACGCTCTGAATGGCGGCACATGAAACCGATGCCCATACACAGGATTCTTGAAAACTGCATCACACAAAATTACGACTTTGGCACTGCCTACGCCTACTTGCGCCATGATTGGATCAAATCTACCATCCCTAGATTTACTTCTGAAGTGGATCTGAAGACACCACAAAATATCATTGTCAATGGTTTGATCCACGAGAAAGATGGATCCCCTCGGCGCGTCTGGGATCTGTATGCAAATCGGGTGGTTCCTTACTGGATCACGTACAAAATGCCCTGGGGGATATCGCATGCTTGGATGGATGAGAACGATCGTGTTCAAGTGTGGACACCCATTAACCAAGAGGAATGGCCTGTTCCGATACCGAAAGATGCCGACCTTGCTCTCATCCGAATCGAGATGTTGAACCTCGGAGCAGAACTTGTTTGGTTGGACGTTCTGTGTTTGAGACAGCCGGGTGGGCGGGGGGAGCATCTACGCAGGGATGAGTGGAAGGTGGACGTGCCCACTATCGGGTTCGTGTACCAGAACTTGTCTAATTCGGAGGTGGTGTGCTATTTCAGTGGGCTGGGTCGGCCGTTGAGTCTGAAGGCGGGCGACTTTGAAAGTAAGCTGTGTTGGTTTAATCGAGCATGGACGCTGCAAGAGATCACCGAGAAACCGATCATTTGCGGGGGCACCGGAGATAACGTCATGATGGAAGAAGACGTAAGAATGAGGTTCAATCAACAGCTTGGATCGCTACAGCATATGGCAAAACATGGCAGCATGTTTGATGTCCTGTCGGAAATGCGGAAACGGGTGTCGACAAAGCCTCTGGATAAAGTGGCAGGCTTAGCAAACATTTGCTGCTTCTGGTCTATCCCTATCTACCGTGAGGATCAGTCGGACGAGGAAGCATGGACAGCGCTTGTGAATGCGATGCTCGTTGACAAACGGGCAGAATTGCTCTTCTTCTACCCGGAACCTGGCGACGGAAGCATATGTTGGAGACCATCCTGGAAACAGGTAATGACGAAGACACTTCCTTCAGCTCAAAGGTACAGGGGGGTGAAAGGTGGAGTGGGATGGGCAGAGAATGTCGACTTATACGAAGGTCCCTGCATCGATTTAGGTGACGTTCAGGGATTGTCCAACGGACCTCAAGGCGGGATGCCTCGAGAGGGACGGTTGATCATCAAAGATCACACCGGAACACTCCAAACAATCAAGATCATTGCCGAGCATGAATTCCCGATACCCGATGGACCTTATACACTGATAGGTGGTGATGCCGGCTATAATCGCTTCTCTGAGGATTACCAAGATTTCGAGATGATGTACTGGGTAATCGGCTGGTATAAACCACATCACAGGTTCGAGAAATTGTCGGTTTTCAATATCGCGGACATCGAGGGACAAAGGATGCTAAAGCAGCTTGGAGTTGCAGATCGCCGAGTTGAAACTATTCTTGCCTGATTCAGTTCTAATAGCTGTGAGATGGTATAGATAATAGCGAAGGAACTTTCTTTAGACTCACTAAGCGATCGGGTCGCTTCCAGTTTCTTCTCTATTTTTCTCTCTTTCCTTTAACATTTCTCTTTCTACGTTATTATTATTATATTTCTACCATTTTTTGAGTTGGGGACTCTCTCCTTCACGTTGACTTGATATTATTTTCAATTTACTCGGAGATTACTCCTGACACTGTAGTTTATGAAGAAGGATTTTTCAACATTTTCGGGATGATCCGACCTGAAGCGTGTTACAACTGACAAGATGTCCAATATCGTAAAGGTTTTTGAGCCAGACCATCCCTTCCCATAGTTCCTTCAAGTTGCTTTGTGTCAGAGATGACAGTCTGTGGGTGTCTCGAATATCATATGACTCGCAGCATGTCTACGAAGTTCACTATTCTTAGAAGACATAAAGTTGCGATTTCTGCGGAACAATTTCAGCACTATGTCGTAGAAAGCTTTGATAACTAATTTCTGCACATTAGTAGATGTTGGTTAGTATGAACAATGTCTCCAGTCGCTGGCTCACTACCACCACCTTTCGTCAAGGTCCTACCATATTCCTGCCTAGATATCCAGGCATCGCCAACGTACTACGGGAAGTAACAGCGCGCACCAAATGAATTTCGACATTCGGGATGGACACCCCATTATACCCGACGGACGGTCACCCCCTTCATCTGCAACTGTCATATCCTCCATGCTACAGTACCGTCGTGATAGGACGAGCCCGTCACAACAATAATTATACTAATTATAGAGGATTGCTAAATGACTGTCGAAGTGGCGATACAGGACATGGCGACATCTATGTCAAAGACGTAAAATTAGTGCAGAAATACCGTGCGGATATTGTTCTACCCTTTCATCGCTTATTAAGAAGGCAGTAAATTTTATTTCGCCTATAGTTAGTCAGTCAGGATTACATAGTACTGAAAGATAGTGGAAGCAGGTCATCCATTCCCAAGTTGTAAGCATGTATTTCCATTTTATGCGACTGATAAACTCATCCTTATGTTGATTATCTGGATGAATTCCTCATCCTTATCACACACGGGAAAATCTTCTTGTGAATGCTTTGTCTCGTCCGTCTCGGCTTCTCGATACCCAACTCCACATCTTGCGATAGCATTGGTTTTAGCGGCCACCTCTTTGTGCAAGACGCTGCTTTCTCCACCGGTAATAAGCGTTCTAGCGTGGTATATATTATTCAGCCCTAGTTATTCCTCATGAAGCAGTTACAGATGTCTGTATATTGTGATTACAGGGACATTGTGGGTGTATACTGCCAGTATGGCGCCGATGTCCCCAGCTTATAACATTTCTGAAGGCCGGTGCAATATCTGTTTACTGGGCTGACGGTGATATCGTTGGACGGAGAAGCAGGAACTCCCACGAATCGAACGTGAGTTGCATGCGACAGAGGCAAGGTGTATTTGAATACGGGTCAGCGCGCGTTATTCCATTCCTTATACCTACTTAGTTCTTTTAGCCAAGGCAAACAGTCGGTTTAGCAAACGCCCAAGACGCGATATCGTCTTTGTACCGTTGTTGTGCGTATAATTTCTTTTCAAGTCTGCTTATCACTCACTTATCGAAATATAGCTGCGCGTGCACAGTTGGGTTGCAATGATTGAAGAATTCGTATCTCGATCCTCGTCTCAGGTATTTCTTGCAAATCTTGATTTATTTGTATCGCTCGGGCTCGAAGAATGGCCCTTGAAAACCTCGCACCACGAATTCTTGTGCGTTACAATGCAATTCCAAGACACTTGAGTCTTGACCTTCGAAGGATCACAACATTTCAAGAGCACAGGAAAACTGGTCCAGGAGGGCTCATGGGGGTATCGGAAAATCTTCTGCTTACTTATTAGTAGTAAGTATGAGGTTGATACCGTGCATCTATTGGCGATATCACCCGGATTGCGCTTGAGCTAGTGCAAATCCGTTCTTCAATGCTTGTATAGTACTCGAATACATTTCGTACTAGAGGTTTCGTCCACGCTGGGTGCATTACTTTTGAATGTAACAGGGTCGAGAAAGGTCAGGCGGGTTGAAAGGGCGAAACCAACGATCAAAGATTGAGAGGTGCTTTCTTGAGGCTAACATTCTACAGAGGAACGCAACTTGAGCTCTATTCTAATCCGTTAGTCGAGAAAAAACAATTATTTCCTCATCCACAAATACTACCTCAGTGGGAATCGAACGTGATAAAAAAGTCTTAGTTACCAACTGACACAACGCTAAGCCATTAAACCACAGCAGCACAGTTGCAATGGGTACAATAGGAATGATCCGGCGGACACCTAATGTTTACATCTGTTGATGTCGCTGGGTTTTTCTTCCTCCCTGTCGTCGTCATTCACTCCAACCCTCGCACCCTTAACAAGGATTGTGACTATCTCTGGGGAGAGAAACCGAGCGTCTGAAGAGCTATAGTTCTCACTTGCATTTCAACCCCATCGGGATTGTCGATACTCCAAGATACCGGTAACCGAGGATGGTGCGTGATGGTCGTGTGTTAGACTGTTGAGGAAAAGGCGCGGTGCATGATATTGGAAAGGGATACAGAGGGTGACTAGCGGCTGACTCTACTAAGATCAGAAACCAGAACCGGTGAAGGACGAGAGCACGACAGCGAAACCTAACCGACTCCGCCTCCACATTCCCGAGGACGTGATCAATAATTGTCAGAGGAACCTCCGCGCATGAGCCAGATCTAAGTCGTGGAAACCACCCCTCCTGAACGTCCTACCGCCCCCGTAACTGTGGACCCTGCCATCCCTCCGACTCGTTTCCAGCCTCTGGTTCCTCTGAATTGGACGCAATTAAAGCTTACGCCACTCTTAGCGCCGGCCTATGATCCAGGATGGCGGCAATTACGCTGTACCGGACAACGACGCGTGCAGGAGTATAGTAGCTATACTTGTAACTGGGTACGTCGCGTCTTTCCCTGCCTTTCTCTCACTCACATTCCTCTTAGCATATAATCCTCGTTTCCCATACAAGGAGTGCGCACACTCAAAACCGCGGTCGGACATATCATAGTCGTCGAAGAGTTCTTGAGACGAGAGATTTTCCAGTCGGGAGAACGCCCCTCGATGCTGAGACCATGAAAAGGAAATATAGAGCACGCTGAGGGCAACATATCTCGAGCTTTAGGCATGTGGGGTTGTGTGCCGGCGCAACTACAAGGTTTACCTGGGAACCAGAGACGAGGACACAGGGAGGCGCAACACGAAGCGAACGGCACGACGGCGGCTTCTTCAGCCAGACTCACAACGAACGTAGTGAGCTTCCTCGTTGGATAAAGTAATACGCTGTCTTGACAGTCTATTTAGTGCCTACCATCATGTTATTCCTTTCACCGCTGTAACACGACCTCGTTAACATTCTCCGGCCCGTAATGCCGAACACGGCACGAGCGTCCCGAGAACGCCCTCAGACACCACAGACACCGAACCAGTCGCGTCTCGGCACATGAACCAGATGATCTTCCGTCATCCACCCGCTCTTACCACCACCTCCCAACCCCGTAGCGCGGTGGCGTGTTGCGCCATTGTACATCCTGCTACCGCCCACTTCCTCCTTCTGCTCTACCTAATTGGATGCTATAAAGTTTGCACCATGGCCACTCGTTACACAGAGAACAGCACGTTCGAGGCACTCTTCCTCGCGGTTATAGTGTCAGTACTTAAGCATCGTATGTCGTATCTTATTCCGCCCTTCTCTGGCGTACGCATCTTCTAGCATACGGTTCTCGTTCACATTATATCAACCCCCCTTTTGACCTGTATCTTCTTGCCACAAACCCGTACCTTGTCGATACCCACAATGCGCTCGAGCACGCACACATTCCCTCGAGCGTAACTGCAGCCAGTAGAGTAAATATTAATACTCACTCCCAAGCCGGGAGCAGATACAATTATCTAGCAGCATTATTGAGATCGAAGGGGAGCACTGCGTATATGCATTCCAGTGCGGGTCTTCTCGCAGCCTGCAGGGTACAATGTAGGAAGTTATCTCTGCGACCTGGTAGGAGGCTGACAAACAAAAAGACTGGTATTGTAATCGTATGTCTGCCATTTTCAACTAACCAATTCGACGGTGTGCTAATGTCTGATTATATATCATATATTCATGTGACTACGCTGCTGAATACGAACATGTGCTCATTTTATCAAGAGATATCCTCTACTCTTAGTGTCAAGTCCTCGGCGTAATTCAAGGATACCGACGTCCTTGAAGCTTGAGGCTTGACGTAGAATATTGAGCACCTGTGGCCTGTCAATAGGCCCATCTCTCAATTTGGGGAGATCGCCTTCACCTTCGCTCTACGTGTTCACGGGAAACTGACCTAGTCCTGGTTACCTTTTTTCACTTGTAGCTCTTAGTTCTAGTGTTACCAGAACACCAAATCAGCTGCTTTCTGCCAATCTCGCTAGAAATCCGTGTTCTTTTGCGAGGTCGTTCATAAGGCATAAACAAGTCTCCCCCATGTCTAGGTGTGACCTCACCGTAAGTACTCATATTGTCCATGAGCTCACCATATTTTAGGTAATATCGCTCGGTTTAAATACTGTCGTCTGTGATGTGAGACAGATTTAGTCTAGGCGCTCGCTCCACAACGACATCCTCTCGGGACGCTGATTAATTTCATCTTGACGGGCATGCTGTCCGTGTCTACGGATAAAATTTATCCAAGCCCTTCCCCACCGGAACTAAAAAATGCTCGGCATCATGGGATCGGGATGGGGAATTGCACCCCAAGTGAACCAAGGCCTCGCTCTTTGTATCCTTCCTGTCTACGGCTATTCAGCTTTGAGTCTGTTAGGGTAACTTGACTTGAGGGTTCCATTGCAGGTCTGGCATCTTGTGGGCCTACAAATTCGTCTTTTCGACAACCTATAGCCAGAGCAGAGCAGATATTTTCAACACTTTCCTGTTAAGAGAGTAAAGGCCTTTCTGACTTTGACCTAGACGATGGCTTCTTTGATGAAGGGATCAGCGAGCAATGTTCCGGTAAATCTATCTTCTTCATCTAGATCGTTCGAATAATGGCTGATACACGATTGCAGCACTCATTCTTGTACCTACCCCAGAAGTGCTCTTGTGATCTCCATTGTTCCCGGCATATGTCGTGTTATCATATTCACGGCTTCAATTCCGGATATCTTGGTTAGATTTTTGGGAATTGCAAATTCGTTATATGGGATGTCCGGCCGCCACGCTCTGAATACTGTACGTCTTATTCCAGCTTCGAAACCGCTCGACAAACACAAAAGGAGGGGGATAACTCTCAGAGTAATCGGTCTGTTGCAGCCTTGAGCGGCTATCAACACATGTGATAGCATCATACCAGTCAATGATTCGCTTGCGGCAGAATAGAAGGTCCGACACGTCCAAGTCGTATTGTTTCTCAGCGACTCATTTTTACCCCTGCAATCCGAAAGACATCACTGGCAGTAACCCACCACTCCGCATTTCCAGACGGGTTTGAAGGAGGTACGTATTATTAGTTGCTTTAATTTGACATCTTTTTTTAATTAGCGCAAGGATGCATAACTCGTTACATCTCCAACCGTTTGTATCATAAAAGCGGGGATGACGGATTTAGAACAGTCACGATGAAAGGGACTGGTAAATCGTCTACTAAGCGAACATTGAGGTGCTGAATTGGTGTGGAAGGAGGTTCCGAAGGAATAGCAGAATATGTAACGATCGGAAGTAAATGCGATGATTACGATACGTGATTAATTTTCTAACAATAGTTTGACGGTGCTATAAATCTCCCTGGTGGAACAGCTGGGTAGTACGGGTTCAATTCCCTTTCGGCATCCTCATAAACCATCATGTGCTTTTTCATCTAGCCCAGAGCTACCATGCTTTCGTGTCGCGCATCTCAGAGCTAACATTCTGCAGGGGAGCGCGGAATAACCTCTATTTAACATTCCTTGCTCACTGCTGCAGTAAATTCATGTTCAGATACTAATGCAGGAATCGAACGTGAAAAAGAAAAACATTGCCACAATGGGGTAATGCGACATCCAGGCTAGGAACTATTGTACAGTGAGAGAACTTTTCTGCTGGGGGAAAGTCGGAAGTGGAATCACCCCGGGATGCGGCACGGTGACAGATCTTACTCTCACGTGTAGAGTAAGAGGATTGTTTGGATCTCTTCAGGCGAATACAGAGAGGGTAGAGAGACACATCTAGGTGGTTCTGGAAATGCGCAGAACAATCATTGCCATGCCGAACGATCCATACAATGTAGTATGCCTGCTTGTCAGTGCCCCTATGCCGAAGGGAATTACCACGCAGAACTTGAAGGATCAACGATTAATTGTTCCTAACTACGCCACCGAATCTTGGACGTCGGTTTATTCAGGGGTTCGGTGGTCTTCACAGAACTATTCTGTTGAAGTACAAAATATTTTCGCATCATAATAAGAGAACGCAGAAGAAGACTTAGTATTCCTCGATACCAGTGTCCCAGCGGTCGTAGGCGATGCTATGGATGCGGATATACGTCTTCATGAAACAGCTTCGCTACACATCCTTCCCATCGGACCCGCATGAATCGATGATACACCCCATTCTGATATCTCATACATCGTTTGAAGCTTCCCGCTGTCGACAGCCTTTCGTTCCTGTGTTTGAGACCGTATGTCCTAGGATTGATAGGCTCGAGAAGGCCGTGTCCTACGTGTATATTCACAGACAGATTTTCTAGAATGACAGCGAAGCAGAACTTGCATGAAAGAACTATTCGTAGCTGTCTGCCGTCACGGAGGAGATGGCGAAAACGAAGAAGGCTTCCGAGTCTTCCTTTCTTCACCTACTACCGAACGAGTCACGAACGCCCCTGGATTATGATGTCCTTGTCGATATTGATCCCGGCATCACCGTTCATGGCCCTTCCGAGGCATAACGCGTTGATGCATGCCCATCTAGCGACCATTTTACAGAGACCGGAGCAAAAATGAGAGTTCTGTGAGTGGGGAAGACTGACAAGTATTTCTGGTCCATCGTCTGAACTCTCACAACTCAGATCCCTCAATCCCGCCACCGCCCTTTAACACTAAGATAGCTCGGTGGTGTGCGCACGAGCTCGCAGGTTCGTAGCTGGGGACATGGGAATATCTCCAGTCTATCTTGGCCAAGTCGCGATATGGGGTTCAGATTTGGTCCTGGCCAAGTGGTGGGCCAACATGAAGCTCCTTCGACGGAGCAATCAGTAGTACCAGAGTTACTGATTATTATCCGCGTCATCATAGGCGTTCTGAGATTTCATTGGTACAGTCAGTCTTATCAGAAGTAATCACCTGAATCTCGTCCATGGTGTCTGGCGTCCGCTTTGCCTATCACCCTGTACAAGCCCGTTCTGTATCATGAACCGTGACGTTAGGCTTGGCGATCTATTCTGAGTTCTCCGATCATGATTGGCAGCGTGGGTCCTCACTGACAGTTATCAGCGCATAAGCCTCGTATAAGAAAGAAGCAAGTAGGCGTCCGGGTCCGGACGCCAAGGCCTATTTTTATCTTCCAAAAATTTCTCCTACTATCTATCGTCAGTGGTCACTGGTCAGCTCTTATTGGCGCCTCCTGAATTTAAAGTTGAATACCGCATGACCTCCGGTATTTGCTATCGCCGTCGGTTTTTTCAATGCTAGCTGAACCGACGTGTCAAGATGGATTCGAGAATGTAAGGGTCGATATCCTTTAAGTTCAAATGACATCATTCATGATCACGTGCACCGCCGCCTCCGTCCGAGCGCGAGTCACAGAATGTCTCGAGAACCAACTTGAGCTTGATTATCATTGTCAAGGAATAATGCTGCGTGGTATTTTTTCCTTTTCTGTCCTCGGTCACCTCTCCGTTTCCTGGTACTCTAACGAAGCTAACGATCTCAAGTTCTATCCTTTAATTTCTCGCGACATCATTGTTGACTTTTCAAAGCTAGCGCAGACAATCAATCTCAACTCATGGAAATGTCCTACAGTGCGTTTATGGTGGAAAAAATAGACTGCGAGACCCGGCATTTGACTCTCAGGCAGACTGCATGCTCTCTTCCTTTGTCTCAATAGTTTTCGGGTACACTGTTAACTAGGTTTCTTCTGTGCAAGCCGGTTCCTAGGTCTTAACCCGAGGAGGTAGCCAGATATACCGAACTGTTCATTCAACAAGCTTGGGAACGCATTATATCTAGAATGGTCTAACGCGAATGAGTGCATCGTACGTCCGACAATTACAAAACGATATGGCTTCACACGTGGATTTAGGACGAGTCTTCACTTGCTGGCTTAGTGCGTCCCTACGAAGTCGTAATTATCTTACACCAAAACCGGACATAGGCTATCACTCGTTAATCAACCGCAACAAGGTTTTTCCAGTGGAACTTATGAACCCGGAACCGGACCTTACAAAGCCGTGTTCGTTGGTATACGTCACTTTTCCTCCGGTGACTCGACACGCATCAGTGAGGCGACTTGCTCCTGCAACAACCGGATCGCGTTCCCTCCTGTGCATTGAACAATGTCTCTAATCCGGTGCGATACTCTCTGTGGAGCTTCCCACATAGGCTGTACACACAGACACGAGGCACAATGACACATGGAAATATCTCACGACGACGCGCCTACACTCCAGATTTTCTCCCGATCCCGACCATGATCCAGTGCTCTGGGTCGAGGGAGATTTGACTTCCGCAGTCTGCCAAAGTTGTTACTCATCATATGTGAAGCGATGTGTTATAGGCGATGTGTGATTGGACGAGCTCTCGTCTCGTTCTGTCGGAGGCGAGTATCCCACTGGTCTTCCGTAATTATCACTCATGTGCAAGTGGTTTGTTATAGGCAATATGCTATTGGACGAGCGCGTTTTCCTTTCACAATCTGTTTTTGAAATGGCAGATGCGGATATTGAACTATGTTTTATGGGAGAATCCTTTCCCGGGTTTCTTTTCACATCCGTTTATGGAATGACAGAGGTGGGCATTAAGCAAGTCGTCGTAGGCGAGGCGTCATTGGACAAGTTCGTCTTGGCATACCATTTATATTCTCTCTCTGGGATATGAGAGGCATATAAAAGGTGGACAGGATATGTCTTTACAGCAGTAGTCAAGACTACATGGCTTTTGCACCCCTCCTAGCTGTTCTCTTCCTTCTCGCCGTTGTACGCCAGTCCGACGGTATTGCTTAGCGTTCTTATATTTGCAATGACGCTAATACCGTTTAACCAGCTGCCCTCACGAAGCGAGTGGCATGCGCCGACGGTGTCCACACCGCCACCAATGAGGCCTGCTGCGCCCTATTCCCCGTCGTAGCCGACCTCCAAGAGAATCTGTTCGACGGCGGAGAGTGTGGAGAAGAGGTTGGTATTCTTCTCAGTCTTCAACGAGCGTTTGCTGACTGTGGGCGGTCCCGTTACCTAGGTACACGAGTCGCTTCGTTTGACCTTCCACGATGCAATCGGGTTTTCCCTTACTCAAGGGTCTGGCTTTATCTCGTTTTTTAATTTCAATAAGTCGATGTTTTTAACAGCGGTGGTGGTGCTGATGGATCTATCGTCACCTTCTCCGACATCGAGACGGCCTTCCACGCAAACAACGGAATCGGTACGGTCATAATGATCATAGTTCCTTGACCCTGGATTCACGGATTTTTCATCTAGATGGAATTGTGGAAGTACAGAGGCCTTTTATCAACGCGCACAACATGACCGCAGGAGACTTGTACGATATTTAATACATCTCGGACTCATAACCTTCTTAAAAATTTCTCAGTATCCAGTTGGCTGGCGCAGTTGGGGTGTCCAACTGTCCGGGTGCTCCACAATTAAACTTCTTATTGGGACGTCCCGAAGCCACTGCCCCCTCCCCAGATCTACTCGTCCCGGAGCCTTTTGATAATGTGACAACTATCATCGCGAGGTTCGCTGACGCAGGGTTCGAGTCACCTGAAATTATTGCTCTCCTAGCTTCGTGCGGCACTGTTTCCTTTTACCTTTCTGACAAATTCGCTTGACAACTCCCTCTAGGCATTCAGTCGCTGGTGCCGACCACGTGGACCCGACGGTAGCGTTCATTCATTTGTATATACATCTTCTTTTGCTCAAGGATCTTTACAGATTCCGGGGTTTGTACCTACCTTATGGATTCCTTGAGTTTTTCCCTAATTTACATTCTTTAGCACTCCCTTTGACTCAACCCCATCGCTCTTCGACACTCAATTCTTTGTAGAAGTCCAATTACGAGGCACCGCCTTCCCCGGGTACACGCTCCTTGTTTCTCTCTGGCAGGCTGGTCGTTGACAGGTGTTTGAACAGGAACGGCAGTAATCAGGGTGAAGCTGAGTCTCCATTGGCTGGAGAAATACGAATTCAATCAGATGAGATGGTGAGTCGCCACGGTGCATAACGTACCATTGATGGGCTCATTGCGATTACCAGTTGGCTCGCGGTTCGTCCATGTTTTGACAGATGTTTGAATCCAGCAGCTGTAGCTTTCTCACAGATTCTAGAACATCCTGTGACTGGCAATCCTTCGCCAGTATGTGCTGTCGCATATTTCTCAACAGGGGTCAATGTTAACGACAATTGTCGCAGATGATCAGGCAAAGATGCAGACCGATTTCAAGGCTGCTATGTTGAAGCTTTCTACGCTCGGACAAGACGTATCTAATATGGTGGATTGCACCGAGGTGATCCCCATCCCTCTAGCAGCTGTTGCGAAAGCCGCGCACTTGCCCGCTGGATTCGATATGAGTGATATTGAACAGGCGGTAAGCCGTTTTGACATGTTTCCACGAATAGATTTTTCATTTTCTGTTAGTGCGCTACTGCTCCGTTCCCCACTCTTACGGCTGATCCTGGCCCTGTCACCAGTGTTGCTCCAGTGTAAGAAGCTCTCAAATCTCAAATTGTATCGTTGTGTACTGATTTCTTTCCCTACATAGTCCACCATCCTAAGAAACTTACACAATGTGGAAGTTTTCTCGTTCGTTGACTTGATATGCAGAATAGTGTGTTCCGGAAGGTTTTTACCTAATGTGGTTGTACTATATACATTTGTGATTCGTATATGTTGATATGTGTTGTCAATTCACTGTGTGAACTTATATGAAATGCGCGCCTCGAATTGATTGGGCTGTTCTCTCATGTGAATCGTATCTTCATTCAAACGGCTTATTAGAACGAATGTCTGTGAAAGACTGTTGGTCTGCGTTCGGCATAGGTGATGCACCAGGTAGCGATGCTCCAACTGGTATCGGATGAATACAAATAGAAGTCATATTGGGATGGAAAGACAGGGAGTCAAACTAAGCGATGTGAGAGCGCTATGTCGTTACACAAAAGTAATATTACTCTTATTATTCGAAGGCCTTCCTTCTTATGTGGGAGAGGTAGAGCGATATTGTAAATAGAATGTTCAATTCAAGGGAATGTTAATGGTGTACCATTTCTGCTTAACGCACAGAGAGACCGAAGGAAGATTCAGGTGGCAAATCCCGGTCGCGGAAAATATTGTACGTACCGTCTGTCCTTTCGAGAGTTGAGCCCGGTAAAAAGAGCTAAAGTTAAGATACAAAGGATAGTGGGGTTGGACTCACTTGGCGACAAGAGAGCTAATATAAACTGACAGCAAGACCTTAGTATTAGGAGCAGAGGAAGAAGACGTAGATACTAACGCCTTGAAGTTGATTGATATGAACATCGGAGGATTTGGCTAGACGATGTACCGTACGTATACCGGATCAGGCTGAGAAAGAACGTGTGATGAAGGGTATTAATTACCGCAACGACAGTAAAAGGGAGCATGCGCCAAGTGCGCTGGGGATTAGTTGGCAAGGCATCGCATAATTTCGAGATCCTTACCTCTGACATCGCCAGTCCAGATATCACTACGAGTCGCACCAGCCTCATAACTATCTTCGTAGTGGTATAAGAACTCCCCTCAGACTATGCGTAAATAGATATAAGTACTAGTATGAAACATGCATCTGGAGAAACTGGTCATCGACCTGCCCTTGTGCCAGATAGCGCCAGCGATGACAAAATCCTCTGCCGAAATGGTGGAGAAATTCAGATATATGGATACATGCTAGGGATGATATCCTTGCCCTAATCCGAATCAAGGGCGGAAAGCGTACCATAACGTCCAGAAAGCCAGTCAGGGTGTATCTGACAATGAGAAACGGTGATAATTTTCAGAGTACTTACGTGTCGTACATGACATATGAAAGGCACACTCGAGTCAATGATGTCTATTACGTGCGGGTAAGAACTAGCTTGTTCAAAGTGCAGTTCGCGTGGGGCTCTTACTTCAGTAGATTGGCGCCCCTTCTTTGAAGTGCGACATGTATCGCATTTTAATCTTCTCGCATGTACATCATTGAATTGGCGCTTATTGGTTTTCTGGAGTTGGCGTTTCAAACAACTGACATTAAGAAAGTCACACACGAATATCATCACCTAGGAAAAACAAGGTGCGAGATGTGGAGAATGTCGTTATACGGTCATAGCACGGCGTTGAAAAAAATTAAAAAGTAAAAAGTAAAATGCTGACCCTGACTTGGAGTTAAAAAGACGACACAAAATGACCATGTTCTGCGTCACAAGGGTTTTTATGTTGGATGAGAGGACAAGACACTAGGAGGAGAAAGAAAAGCTCCGAGAAAGGACGCGAAGTATCTCGGTTCCCGACGGTGCTGTCCACGTGGGTCAGTAGCAAGCCATTTCGGAGTCAGAATTCGAACCTGATTGATTCCCGCATGGTGCACGCCTCGAGTTCCATATTGTGCTGACTGCGATTATACATTTCCTGATGACGACCATCGAATCTGCAGGTCGTGAAAGGCGTCTTGTTCATGACATCGAAATCCAGGATGTCACGGCTGCCTCACCCTTTCATTTACGGGAACTGCTGTGGTCGGACGGGGAGGACTTTTTTACCTCCAGTTCTATACTCGGCGTCCTCGCGACGAGGATGAGGAGACTCGCTCTACCCTTAGCCGTGATGCGAAACTAGTACCACGGTATCTATACCAAACCGTACCTCCTCCCGAATTAATACGCGCGCCAGAACCTCTTCCCGACGATAGTTACAATAAAGTTGGGACAATATTCCACTTTCATCCGGAGGATTTAGACAGGTGTGCGATTTGGCCGTGTATGATCCAGGAAGCTCGGGTCTGCGAAACGCTGATGAAGCACCCTCATCCGAATGTGGCGCGCTACTACGGATACGTTGAGAAGGATGGATTGATGGTCGGATTGGGTTTTAAGAGATATGGACAAACGTTTGAAGAGTCTGTGAAGAAGGGTGTGATTCTGAAGGAGGATGTCGAATCCTCGTTTGACCAGATCAAGAAGGGCGTCGAGCACATTCACGGTCTTGGCTTGTTACACGTAAGTTCATCTTGCAAGCGCTGGAATAGACACCTTACTTATTACCATGCAGAACAACATTAATCCCAGTAACATTATGCTCGACGCAGACGGGTCGTTGCTTATCATCGATTTTGATTCTTGCCGCCTTAGGGACTGTAGACGAGTTCCTATGATGTTCGGTGCTAGCGAAGAAGTTCAGCACGGAGTTTGCCGAGTCTGCTTCTTCTGCTACTCCCATCATTGCTTGCCTCTCCTTATGCTTAACGGAAAAGAAACATGGGTTTATATTGTAGAACTTACTGAAGCAACCTGACACTTATCAAAATCACTTGCACAATAATCTTTGGTGTGCGAGTATCCGTATCATTGTCAGTAAGACGGGACGAAAGACTCGCCTTGTCACCTCAAAAACCTATCATCTTTAAGGTAGACTATTGACCTGGTGTCTACTATTCCTACTGTACGCTATCTCAAGTACGTTTACCCACTCACATTACAGTGATCAGCGACTGACTAAGTAGTAATGCTAGATATCAGTAACAGGGACCAATAAGTCGAAACCCTGAAGGTCGAAACGTGAGGATGGCTCAGCTTCACGAGATGCTCTTCGAATGGTGGCTCCATTCTATCGACAGCTCGAAATTCGAATTTAGCACCGTGGGATTTCGACGTCTGCTTCAGCGTTCGAAATCAGATACACATTGAAACGTAATGGTATGCGTCTTTTTGTGTCTCAGTGCCATTCTAATTGTCCTGTTAGCATTTCTTGGAAATTGCTCTAGAAGACTCTTTGAGGAATGCCATTGGAGCTGCAATCGTTGAAAGTCGGGATCGACATATTCAGTACCTGTTCCTCACGGGGCATGTGCAGCTGAGACTACTTAGGTTGGTTTCCGTACTTTTCTCTACTTAGATTTGACATGACCTTTCGCACAGATGCTACTATAGACCAGGATTCCGACACGTTCGCGATGCGTCGATGGCGTGAGAATAATTGTCACGTGTATCAACGGATGCGTCTATTTCATTTCGGATTTGCAATGCCTTCCGACTTGTTGAGACTGCGAACCCCTCTCTGTCTCTCTTCCACACCACCACTACCACAGCAACAATTCGACGCCCTGCCAATTCGCCAAAAACGATGCCGAAAGTCGATAACAAGAGCGCCGGCACCGAAACCTCAGCGGCCAAGGGGAGATCAAGAAGCTGATCAAGACGCTGCTTGGGAGGGGCACAGCGAAGGACGTAAAGGGACTGGTATGAGATGTCTCCTTCGTGGATTCACTCTTATTGACGCGTGTCTAGACGATTTCTTTCTCGACGGCCGAGTATCAAGAGAAGAGTAAACGCGGTGAGCAGATCGCCGAGCTACTGAAACAGCAAGTCTTCCCTTCACCGCGTGTTGTATCTTTACTCAACGTCGTCTTCTGGACGCCCAACCTTACTACCCTGACTCTCAACTTCGTGAGTGCCGTCCATTTCATGGCCAAACACGCCTTTGACGCGTAATTCTAGTCTGGTCATCTTGACACGTATTCGGATTGTCTCGGAGAAAAGCTCATTGTCGCGTTATGCTCGCTGAAGAATGTCGAGAACTTTTCTCACCATGCCACGACATCCGCGCGCACGGATTTCGGCCAGTACAGCTTGATGAAATTGGTCTTGTCTTGGCCGAACCTCCGGACTGTAATTATTATCATCAGGTTGTTATGGAATATGCTGAGAATTCGTCAACCAGCTATATCTTGCTGTGGATACGAACGGCAGCGAAGACTGTTCAACGATCCCTCCAGCAACGTGTGCATTAGAATCTGTCACTTTTGAGCGCTGCATGTCAAATTTCGAAAAATTAGCACCCACGTTCGCGGGATCCGCCAAGAATCTTAAGACCTTCGAATCCTGAACGATGGGGTGCAAAGAGGTATAACTATCCCTCAGCTTTCCTCGTGTAATCGCTAACGTTTCTTTCTAATTCAGATTGACGCAGTCCTCCGAAACGTCCTACCCTCCATCGAGTCTATCCATATCGGGAGGTGAAACCACCCCTCGAGAGACTTCATCCTAAGTGAGCTCTCCAATGCGCCCGGCTTCCATTCGATCGACCTCAACGGGGACACCGATACCGGAGGAACGACGCGTAAGGCTTTTGCCGAGGCACTCAACCGAGATGACTCTTTCCCTGCTCTGAGGTGGTTGTCCTATCCTGGCGAGAGAGGGACATACAAGACAGGACGAGGCAGGAATGTCCACGTGCACGAGTATGAGAGTGTGCGTACGAAAGAGCTGGAGGAGGCTGCGAGGAAGAAGGGTGTTCGGACGGAGTTGGCGTGGAGGGATCTGGAGTATAAGGTTGAGGGTTCGCAGAGGCGTGCGGGGTTTGCTGCTATGAGTAGGAGGGGGTATTGGTGACCTGGATTGAAACAATTACTATATAGTGAGAATCTCCTACCCTCTTATGTTCTTCTTCAAGCTTATTGTCGTTGAGGCCATTATTTATTTATTACCTGTATTGCTTCATAAATCCATTCTACCTACTAAAAATTTGGCAGCTAGCAGTCGACATCGCTTCTTCTCCGTCTGTAAATTGATTTTACCCCCTATCCCCCATTCAGGTGATCATCTCCGCTTCGCGAGTGTCTACTTTCACTCCGTGCTTTTCGTCATATCGAGAACAAAGATTTCCTTAATCAAATGCTGACCCTTTCCCTGTACCATGACATTAACCAGTGGTTCAGGATTGAACTACGAACAGGGAAACCATCAGTTAAGGGTGTTATGGATCTGCCGAAATCCGGAGATGCGAGCACGAGGCGAGGAGCGGTGATCGAAGTGAGGTAAGAGTAATTAGGAATGATGTACGTCGTAAGGGAATATAATGGATTCCGGCGAGGGTTCGTGAGGAGACCTGAGTGGTCCGGTTTGTGAAATAAAGGAAATCAGAAAGCACGAAGCAATTACTGAGGGAAGTGGCCGGTAAGCACGGAGCAATTACCGATATAGAAAGCCTGTAAGCGCGAAGCTATTACGGGCCGAGGGTGAAGGCAAGCGCTAAGCGTAACCTTCGGGTTGGTGTCAGAAAGCGCTAGGCGTATCCAACGAGTTGTTCAGCAAGCGCTAGGCGTAACTGAGGGTTCACGCAGTGAAGGTGTCCTTAAAGTAGTAGATTGGTAAAAGCTTTCTAATACAATGTTACCTACGAGTTTATATACTAAGGAAAGATTAGAGTCATTATTATCCTATAATGTTCCATAATATTCTAGTATCAATACGAAGAATAGAGAAAGTAAGAGAAAGTACGAGCGAGTCACTACTAGGACCGAGAAGGCTGAGTTCGGGCATGTGTTGACTCATGCACCGAATCAGTGGATACCCAATATCCATAACAAAGGGTAAGTGGCATGACAGCTAATTGGTAGTCATAGTCGGGGTTCGAGTCCCCATATCCGTATAAAATTGCATACTGTGGACTTTTTCTTAAAGAGTGAAAGTATGGTGACTCGTGCGCCTGGATGTTTTTTTTTCCTGTATGGTGTACAACGTTTATTCCGGTATCCCTTGAGAATGGAATTCGACGAGCAGGTAAGGAATACATGTTTATCCACGGTATTCATTCGGATAAGGAGTAGTGGTCAATGGGTACGGTATAATACCTTTGAGGGGCAGGGTTCGATTCCCTCTATCCAATATACAAGGGTCTGTTTAGCATACTTTTAGTGAATGACAGCCTGGCTTTTGACGATCCTTTTTTTTCCTCTTTCATGGTTCATCGTACTCATCACGTTCGAAATAGGTGCGAGTCCATAGGATCAATAAACTCTGATGCCCGAGGGTCCCGAAGTGAACATTCTGTGTGGCAGTGTGATCCCTTCTCCGTATTGACATTCCAATCAGTGCTACGGGATGAAGGCAGTAAGTAAATAAGTATCAAGTCTTGCTTTACATTCTGAAGAGAATCCTATTTTCAGCACGTTATCATGCCTGGGATTTCCACATCCAGGAAGAGATCTGTGTTAGGTCAGCACTTAGTCCTGCGCTGCCCAAACCTGGACCCCGGTCAGACTACCTGCGCCTGCGACGGATTCAAGTTGAGTTGCTCTTCATCGTAGAAGAGGTAAATCTCACCGACTCGGAATGTAGCTGCAACAGCGATGAACTGAGCATCAAATATAAATCAATTTTTGCATAGATATTGCTAAGAGGAAGAAGCATGGAAGGACCACAAATGATTGCGGACTATAAGAACACGTTAAGCCCGCGCCGGTTCAGACGGCCCGATTCCATCCGTGTTTACATCTATTGCTGGGTTTTTCCTTCTTGTCGTCATCCCCTCCAAACCTCTCAAGGACGATGACCACCGCTGGAGAGAGGCCCGAACGTAGGAACAACCACAGTTCTCATTCACATCTCGATGCCATCGACCTATGAGAGGGACAGTTGAAGTTCTATCATACCGACTACCGAGGATGCTTGGCCGATGGGGCGTGATGGACAGGCGCGGAGTAGGATACGGACAAGGCGTATAAAGGGTGCGGCTTCATGCAGAGGGCGGTTAGCGGCGAACTCCGCTAAGCTTAGGGAGATCAGAGATCTCGATCAGAACGTGACGAGAGTACGACAGCAAATCAAGATTGCGATAACCGAGTCCGCCTCGTTGCGTGTACTAACTCCGTGCATAAGCTACATGTCAGTTATGAACACCACCCCTCCCCAACGTCCTACCCACTCCGCACCTCGCTTCCAGCCTCTAATGCCATAAAGTTCCCGCCACTCATAGCACGGGCTCATGATCCTAGATGGCGGCATGCATGCTGTGCCGGATAACGACGTGTTACAGAGTGACGGCGCTCGTAACCAGGTACGTCACGTCTTACCCAGCCTTTCTCTCGCTCACATTTCTCTTAGCATACAATCCTAGTTTCCCATTTAAGGAGTATGTACACTCAACACGGCAGTCGAGCGTATCGTGTTGTCGAAGAGGTATTTAGACGAGAGATATTCCGGTCCTGAGAACGATCCTCGATGCTCCACAACATAGGACCTAGCGCGATTCGGAAACGAGAGTCGATGGAGACAAGCTTTGGAGGGAAACGACGGAAAGGAAACGCAGAGCACCACGAGAGCAACATACCTCCACCTGAAGCGTGCAGAGCGCGGTTACCGGCGGAACTACAACGCTTACCGGTGGAACCGGAGAACGAAGACGGCTTCTTCAGCCAGACTCACAACGGACATGGTGAGCTTCCTCTTTCTGTCAAGTTATTCGTCATCCTGAAAGTCCAGTAGCTGCTATCATGTTATTCCTTTCACCGCTGTAACACGACCTCACTCTCCAGGCGCGTAATGCTCAACACGGCACCAGCATCCCGAGATCACCCGGATGGTCATCGATTCACTTCTCCGTGCTAGGCCTAACATACCCCGAACACACCCTCAGATACCACAGACGCGACCCAGTCGCGTCCCCACGCATGAACCAGATGATAGCTCTACTCTTTCTACTACTTTTCAACATCCCGGTAGCCCAGTGGCGGCCCTCTCTTCTCCCTTAATCAAGTCCTACCCTAATTTTACCTGGTCGATGCACTCGAGCATATGTACATCCCTTGGGTTCTCCGTTTTGAACGTTGGTGGGGCAAACTTTCACACTCGCTATCGAGCCAGGAACCCTATTTGCACTGTCATCGACATCGTTAAGAGGGGAGGAAAGCACGCGCGTATATGCGCACCAACTTGGCGCCTCTTGCGGAGTACCAGGTTAGGTGGTTACTAATAGTTATATTGTAATCGTGAGCCGCCATTTTCATCTAAAATACGTGACGACCTGCTAATATCTGATTATAGCGTATGCCCGTGTAACTAACCTTGCTGAATACAATTATGCGCTTATCTGATCGACCTATCAATGATCAATCTGTGCCTCTCTTCTCTGAGCGTATTTTCCTCAAGGTTATGGTTCTCTCCTTTCCAAAGTCAGAGTTACGATATGATATATGAGACTGGCATTGCGTGCGACTGATACGGAGCCTTTTCCCTACACTATTGTTATCGCTTGCATGACAGAACCGTGTCCCACTGTTCCTGGTCAGAGAGGATAGCCAATCAGTACGTTGCAACTACATCGTCGCTCTTTGTTTTTAACATGTGCAGGTTTAATCTGAACGTTCCCCGACCCGCGTAGCCCAAACGACATTCTCCTGTGTGCACTGAACGGGAACAAAATACCGGGTATCATGGAGAATTGCATGCTGAGGATGCTGATCTTGTTCTTGCAGGTGTACCTGCATATCCCGCACAAGCCGAGCACTTGGACGTCTACCGCAATCCATGTCTAAGCGTTGGGGGAACTATGGGAGGGTGGAGCTTACGTTAAGGATTTTTTACCTCCCACGACCCCTCCATTCCGGGGATCTGGACCCAGAACCGCTGTATGGGTGAGAGGCGGGGCTGGTATAAATAAATTCTCCAATACATCTCTTTTGTCCTTGCAGAATAATCTTGGCGGCACCTAGTATGAGGAATCGAACATGAAAAGAAAAAGCACCCAATATCTGACGAATGCAGCACCTCGCCGTTAAGCCAAAGTACCACGGTATTCATCAGCCCGATAATAATGGATCTCGAAGTCGTCTCTCCAGAAAACTTGGAACTAGCAAAGCGATTCACCGAGTTCACCATTCGCCGGTCAAGCTCGTTATAAATACTCCCCACCACATGGCAGTTTAACTCTCCGTATGATTCGGTGGAGGAACCTAAACCGTTCCGAGTCCTATGAATATAGGATACTCGGTTATTATGCTGTCGTGAAACCCCGTGGGAAATTTTCTATTCGTGGACGGCAATTCCCGCATTTTTCCGGCTCCGCGTTTCGCCCTTGTGCTACGTCACATTCCCTCTAGCCTGCTTCATATCGCCGTTTTGTTTTCTATCCTTTATGTTCTGTATTTTCTTTTTCTGTAACAGCCTGACAGAAATTGTCAGTGTTCTGTCCGTGGTTTCTTCCACCATGGCAACTTGAATCTTGGGATAAACTGCAGCTCTGCCTCTAGATTTTTTTTTTTTTTCAAAATTCTGCTGCTGTTGTTGGAATATAAATATTACTTCTATGGCCACTAAAGAGTCGAGCTTAAATCACATGCTGTATCCTCAAATATTGTGATACCCACCTGCTTCCTGGCAACTGATTTTATTTGTCAGGATCTTGTTCAATTCTCTTGCAGGTGATCTGTTAGATTTGTTCACATCTCTATACCTGCTACGAAAGATTAGCCCATTGAGGCATAGAATGTATGATTGATATCACAGATCTTGGACTCATTTTCATCAAATCAAACGTTTCAGGAGTGCTGATTGTGATTTTCAAGGAATCTGGTGTTTCTACTCTCAATGCAAAGTTTCAGCAATGTATCATGTTGTTTTTGAAATAAATTTCCCTGACAGGACCATCAGGTCACTATATGCTATCATATATAAAATGACTCATGGATTTGTTATTTCTACACAAACATCCTTCAAACCCAAACTAGTCTAAGTCACAGCTTGCTCCACAATGCCTTTCAAATCTGCCAAGCACATAATTCTTGCATCCTACCACACCATTCGGTATGCCGTCTCTTCAAGCGCTGTCTACATAGCAATGCTCATGGCCTTTCTAGTAGCATCCTCAAGGGATGGTCAACTAGGTTCACATCTCGAAGCTCTGTCATTTATCCTCTTTCTCATTGGTTGACTGGTGGTGGGAAGTGGCATCAAGTTTTGAATGTTTTGAAGGGGATGGACTTATAGAAAGCCTAACGGTCGCACTTCAGACATATGCCATTCTGAATTTCAAAATACTATTTATAGTAATCAGACCCAGGGAAGTGCATTGTTAGTATGACCAATTCAATGGAACAAGATTAATCAACCATATAAAGACAAAGTACTTAGGTTTTAGGAGTAGTCACCTATAAATAAAACAATTATAAAAATGAATAACTTATAATTCTACTGTTTTATGCATCAAGGAATCTGATTCTGATAGTCCGTAGCCCATGGGATGGCTAGAATATCAAAATTGGAGATGTGCTCCTCATCATTTGCAGAATGATTTACTTATATCTCTTCCAATTCATTTCAGATGGATATGAACATTTACACACATCATTAGACAATATATATCATCTATTATATAACAGTAATACCTTCTCCAACCACTAGAAATGTGTAATACAAGGTATATCTCCTCCATCCCCTATTATTCTTTTTTAACATGTATTTCTGAAGGTTTTCTTTGAGTCCTGGTGTTATTTGAAGGATTTTGAGATCTTGAAATACAATGGTAAAAGATCTGAAGTGTTTCAAGGCACAGAAAAGTGATTTCCCATATGTGCTCCTCCTGAACTGTAATATTATCATTACTACCATTTCTGGAGCCTGATAAATTGTTCCTATAGTCATTTCAGTGTTTTCAAGGTCAAGGAATTTGTTGGTAACAATCCCAGTCTCATCCGAACCTCAGAAAATAAAATAAACCATATGTGCACCCCAATCCTCTCTTAAAAAGCTAATGTGCTCGTCTAATCCTAGTAATAAAATGTGCTACAAGTGCTATAGAGGAATTGGCCTGAGATTTCAAGGTCAGATAATCAATTGGTGAAGTTCTCTGGTCAATCCAATGCATGCATCTCTGTTAGCCACTAACTTTAATCGACTTAGATTGTACTAAGGTCGCTACTCGCACTTCGGTAGACGACGCTTAGCAAGTCAAAGGCGACGCAAGTTGATGGGACAGATAGTCACGAAGGGCGGAGTTCGATGTTAGGTAGAATTAACCTTAGCCGAAGCTGGGGTTTAGACCAGCTGAGGCTCTACTTAAATACACGTGAGTATTCTAAAAATACTACTGCGCAGTCAGTCCGTGATGATCGCGCACTGCGTAATCTGGCTGACTAAAGAAAAGAAAAGAAAAGAAAAGAAAAGAAAAAGAAAAAGAAAAGAATAATTGTAACATTACCCCCTCCTTAAGACTCATTCGTCCCGAATGAGAATATATCTCCTTCCTTCCCCACCAGCGAGTCAAGGGTCTCCCTTCTGCTTTAAAACAGGATCGATTGGGCCTCCGCTACACCGTAAAAAGTCACTTCGTGTGTTCGGCCTCCAACCCTCTCTCCCCCTGGACTCAGGTTCCTATAACTCCTGAGCCACCTTGCGCCGGTTAGGCCTTGACTGTCTGTCGGGATCCGCGATCCCTAAGGGTTCAGTGCTCGTGATTGAGCGGTGGAAATCCCCTTCTACACCGTAGAAATGCCATGTCTAGGCTGCGCTCGTCTGAGACGAGTCGCTTGAGTCTGCTCCGCCGCTTGAGGTGGAATATTGTGAGTCTGAATGAGAGGACCAAGTGTCATCGTCGGTGTCATCATCATTATCGGTGTCTGAATCCCAATTTTCACGTATGCGCTCGAGGTTTCGTAGGTTTACCTCCTCCTCTTCGTCATGGAAGTCGTCTAGAAGCACAATATTGTCAATGATTTCGGAAGAGGGATAAGAGTGTTGTTGGGCGTCAGAGTGCTTGGGATTTGTGCACTCGGAGGAATACACCGTTTCGATGTCGGTGACACATGGGCTGTTGGGATTATTATATTTGACAGGCAAGTTACGCGGTATCTTGTCGTCGAATCCGATCGTCTTCCCCTCTGCGTTAACCATCCAAATCATTTTATGGATGCGGGCTTCGTAGTCGTTGACGAGTTCCTCGGCGTTGGCCATATCTGAACGTTTTACCCAAGAGTTTTCCTCTGCTGGATAACCTCTCCATTTCACCAAGTATTCGGTGATGGTGCGGCGAGTTCGTCCGCGACCCACGATACGATCTCTCTCTCCTACTATCTCTTCTATTTCATATTCCTCCTCATCATCGATGAGCTCTGGGGGCAGCCGTTCGGGGCGCGGCTGATTCGGGAATTCAGGGGCGTGGTATGGAGTCAATAAGGATTCATTGAATCGATTGTGAATGTGCCATTTCGCGGGGAGCTTCAATTCGTACGCCGAAGCCCCCTTTCTGGCTAGAATCGCGAAGGGCCCCACTCGTCGGTCGCCTAACTTCTTCGTCGGACGAGGGAGGTTTAGGTTGGTTGAATCCAACCATACCTTGTCGCCGACTTGGTACTGTATTGCCTCCCCCTTTCGTTTGTCATAAACCTTCTTCATTGAGTCTGCCGCCCGCTCGAGGGACTCCCGTGCTTTCTCCTGAACTTCTTGAATCCCTTGGACCAGCTTTGATGCCGCTGGCACTGCGCCCTGACGTTGAGCGGTTTTGATGACCTGCCCATCACGTCCAAAGACCACTTTGTACGGAGAAAAACCCGTGGCGGAATGTTTGCGGTTATTGTGAGTGAAGGCTGCGAGCGGTAACCACTCGCTCCAGTCATCTTGTCGGTAACTGACGAACATCTTGAGATATTTCTCGATTTCTTGGTTGACTCTCTCTGTCTGTCCGTCAGTCTGCGGGTGATAAGCCGTCGATGGATTTCCGGTAATGTGAAGGAGGGCGTAAAATTCCTTCATGAATTTG